GGGTGGGGTTGTTTCTGTTTAGGGACCAGCTGGAATCAACACCAGACCTGGGGGCTCTGCTCCGTGCCAGGCTGAGCACAGGACCAGCTCCTTGGAGCTCACTATGGAGCATTTCACTGTAGCAGCTCCTTGGGGGAAGGTGTAAGGAGAGATTTCTTGTGAATAAATCTGTCATTGCTTTCCTTTTTTATTTTGCTGATATTTATTGCCTTCTGGATTTCCCTGCTCTCTTTGCATCCTTTTTATTGCACCTGAGACTGTCACAGCCCCCCAGGATGGGCAGGCTCTGGGAGCTGAAGTCCCATTCCCAGGCACAGCCTCGTGCTCCAGGGAACTTTCTTTCACTTCCAGCAGTGTTATCTCATTTCTCTATATAATGCTGCTGTATAAACAGCAGCTCTCAGGGGACCTGGGCCGTGACAGTGAGATCCTCCCCCCTGGATTTGTCAGCCAAGCAGCAGTGTCAGGTTCTCCAAGCCTTCCCAGGGAGGCAGCTCTGTGAGGAAGACTCTCCGTAGATTCTCCATTCTCTGCCTCGGGGACCTGGAGCAGCATCCTGCAGGAAAAGGCACTAAATTCTGTGTACCTGTCCTCAGTGGCCCATTTGCTAATACTGGCCCCAAACCAGAGTGATTTGTCCTCAGAAGAGGGCAAATCCCTCAGAAGGCAACAGCAAAAACATTTTATAACCTCAGAGAAAAAAAAAAAACCCACAAGAAACCACAACTCTGGTCATGGAAGGGCTGTGAGAGGGAACGGGAGCTCCTGTGTCCCTGAGGAGCTCCTCTGGCTCCATCCTCGCTAAGAGCTGCCTCAAACCAGGTATTTCTTCCCGGATGTCACATGGAAAGAGGCTGTCAGAGCTGTCTAAATGTGTGAACAACACTGTCAGCGGGGGAGAGAAAAGTGTTATCAGAAATAGTTGTTCTTCAAAGCTAAATAACTCCGTCATTTATAAGGAGCAGAAGATAAGAGATCGCACCACACGCTGAGGGCTGCTGGAATTTTCTTTCTGAGAACGAAAGCTGTTTGTTTTGGTAAAAAGCAAAAGAGGGGAGAAATAAAATCCTAAAATACTTTGACTTTCTTGACTTAGCTCTTGTCAAAGCTAAAAATAACTGCGCTGGCACTGAGCCCATGCAGCCGTGTCCTGGGATCACTGGAGCAGTGGAGGAGGCTTCCCAGCACATTGTCCAGGCATCATTGACCATTTCCAAGGTTTTCCAGCACCATCCCTGGGGACTGAAGAATGCAGTGCAGTTTTGCTGGATGCAGAGAGACCTGGGCCTGCTCTGATTGCCATCAATGGGATTTTAGGTGTTCTGTGGGATCCAGGTTTTACCCTGAAGAAAAGCTCAAGTTCTGCTGCTCCAAGTGAGAGCTTCTGTGGTTTTCAGCCAAACTTCCCCTTGAGCCAGGCCAGGCTCCTTCTGCCTGCCCAGCCCCACTACTGCTCCTCTGGTCTAGACCCAAAGGGAGTGTCAGGCATTTGCTCTGGGATCTCATTTCAGATTTTGAAAACTCCTCACCTTAGCAGTGATGGCGAGGTCATCAAATAAAATAACATAAAACAGTCAGACATGAAGCTGATTGTAATTAGTGTGTTTTCCCATACGCTGGCTGACATTCTCCAGAGAGCAATTAGTCTGCTTTAAGAGTAAAAGACAACTGAATAATTATTTAACCTGCCTGGGATTGATTTTAAAATCCAAGAAGTCAGATATAATAATGGATGACTTCATCAAACAATATGTAAAATAAGTGATAAGGGTTGGAAGTCTTTGTCAACAGCTTGTGTGAGGCATCTCCTACAAAGCTGACTCCCAGTCCCAGATCCCACTGCACCAAAGGCCCCCAAACATGGCATACAAAGAAGGTTTCCAGGGAAAAATACCTATGCAAACAAAGTCAACCTGAATTGATAAACTTCAGTGTGTGTTAAACAGCACCTGGTGCTGCAGTGGGGAGTCCTCGGGCTCTATTGACTGGCCAAGGAACAGCACGCATAAATCAGGCAGCAAATCCTCTCACAAACCTCAGGAGGATGTCACAAAGCATGACAGACCTTGTCACTGCCATCTTTTATCTGTCTACCAAGCCACGGGAGGGGAAGGAAGAAGGAATGAGGAGCTGAGACCTGCACAGACAGGAGAGAGTGGGAAAGGCCACGAGCACCACAGAGCATCCAGTGACCTCCAAGACATGGGAACTAGCTTCCAAAATAGGGCAGAGGTTTAGAGAGGGGCAGCAACACTCATGGAGCTTCAGTTCTACTCTCTCAGGTGGGATTTGTCGATATGTGGTGTATAAAAGTGGAGACTTGTGAGATTTTCACACCCACAGACTCTCCTCTCTGAGCGTGAAGCTGGGTGAGGTTTCTGCCCAAGGCCCATGTGGGATCGCTGGTAGTGCTGCTGTCCAGCCCCCAGCAGCAGATTGCCCAGCCCTGCTCCTTCATCTCTCCTGCTGAGGCTTGCAGGGGACCCCCGGGGTCCCCCAGCCCGGTGGGGTTGATGTCACATCCCTCGTGCTCTCAACACGAGCTGAGCGTCTCCATTTTGCTCAAATGGAAGAGCTGCAACAATTATTTTCATAATTAGCTGGCTTTGCAAATTAATGCCAGTTATGCTGTGTAATCATGATGAAGATTATGCATTAATCAGCTGTTTCAAGCCAGTTATTAGGCTCTTTAAATAATGATGGGAATGAACGTCTCTGAAGGAGCGGCGCGCAGCCAAGAGGGATGTGAGGATCCAGCGGGGTGTGCCCTGCCCAGATCTGACATCAGGTGCTCCCAGTCTCACCAGTTTCTGAGCAAACACCAGGCAGGGGCATGCTGTGGCTGCCCTCAGCACCTCAGGGAGATTCCCAGTGTCCCAGAGTATTCCTGGGACAGGAATTCCAGAAACACATCCCTGCTGCCCGCCAGCTCTCTCACAGCCTGGCCCTGAGCTCAAGGTACTGGGTGACTGCACAGAAAATTCTTCCCTGACAAAAAGCCTATTATATCCAGCTGGATGTCTGGAACAGGAATTTATTTAGGATCAAACCCCAGTAATCCACATTCCCAGCCCTTCTGTATTCTCTCATAATGAGACATGCTCCAATGCAACTTTGAAAGTGCTGGGCTGGGACAAAGCCTAATGCCAGCTAGTGGATAATCAATGTAACATTTACCAGTTATCACTTCAGCACGATGCTAGAAAACAAAAAATCCCTGGCTAAACAGTCTGGACAGTGAAGCCTTGAACAGAGAGATGGGGTGAATGTCACACTCACTTTAGTTTTGTTTATTGTGTGTGATTTAATATTGCAGATGAACTTTCTTCTGCCCTAAGAAACTTAAATTGAGCTGCCAGCATATGCAAACTTTGATGTGGATGAATAATTTTCTTTGCACCAGTCAAAACCCAAATGTTTTGGCATAATCCAGTGAGAATGAGGCACGTGGACAATTCTGCTACACTCCTGCCTACGCTGCTGAGCATTTTGGATTGAAAACCTGCCCATGAGTGACTGGCTGAAAATCACGTGAGACTGAAATGACACTCCAGAATGAGCATTCAGCCTCTTTTTTCTTTATTCTTCTGCCTATTACCAAAATTAGCACTGAGTTCAGTGGGGGTTTTTTTGAGCAGAGACATGCAGGAAACAGCTCAAATTTTTTCATGTCTATGAATGTAAATTCATTCCCACACTCCTTCACAACTGGGGACATGGATGCACAAAGACTGCAGAGGAGGAGGAGGAAAGGGACTTGTCACAATAAAGGGGAGCAGAAAGAGGCTTTTTGGAGGTCCTTCTGCTTCCTTGCTGAGAACATCTGCTGTGCTTCACCCAGTCCGTGGCTCTGGTCACATTCCCGAGAGGACACCCAGAGCACGGCCACCAGCAAAGTTGTCAGCTTGGCTCTGGCCAGACTGGAACTCCTGGCTAACACCAAACTGCCACAAAACTATGGAAAATGTGCTCTGGCTGCTGGAGGAGGATTCATGGCATTGCCTGAAAGCCAGCAGGGCTGAGCAGACATCTGTTGTCTACAAGAAAACGTTTGAGGAGTATCTTAAATTGAAGAGGAAGGTTTTTCCTTCTGCTAATGAACCCTGAGACCATCTGTTACCAATTGTACTTGCTTATTTCGCTCATCCATTAATTATTTTGATTTACTTTTGAATAAGATGGAGCAAGGTCTGTGTCTTTCTGTGGTTCTGTGAGGGGCTCAGGGTGGGTCCTGCATGTTGAAGACAAGGACACATCATTACATAAGCCATGCCTGCACCAAGTCACTCCAATGCGAGTGGCTGTCAGTGGGAACTGAGGACAAGACTCACACACAGAGCCAAGAAACCCAGTGATGCTGTGACATGAGCTTGTTGCCCTTGGGGAGGTGTAATGGCATTAACAACTTTTGAACACAGGAAAGCTGCATCTGAGATGTGCATTACTGAGCAGAGGAGCTGGAGGGTAGGCAAATCCAGAATTGTCTGCTGGTCTGAATTGAAAACTTGGATAACTAAACATGAGGAACAATAAAAAAAAGGAGAAAGGGACTGAAAATGGCACTGAAAATAGTCAGCAGCAGCACTGCCCTGCCTGTCTCTCGTGCAAGGACAGGATGGGTGATGAGGCAGGAGGATTTCGAGAGGAGGGCAGTGCCAGTTTTGTACCCAGTAACTCCTCAGAGCACAGACCATGGGCAATAAGCCTGTCCACTTCCCATGGTCTGGTCCTAAAGTTTTATGGGAAGCCACTTATCTGACTCATAAAAATATTCCAAGACTTTAAACCACCTGCTACTGCCCCACAAAGCTGCCACCCTGAACATTCTCATAGACCAGAATATAAGAAAAACCCAAGTCTTCACATCTTCATTTCAGCGCAGGACAGGTCCTCAAGCAAACCCAGCTCCACCTGCAAACATTCCAAGAGTTTTCTCATCCTTGCTGCTTAAATTTGGGAAACAAGCTGTGGCTCAAAGGTGGATTTTTTTTGTCTTGCAGGAGGAATCTTTGAGTACGCAGATGGCCCCAACACGCAGGTGATGAGCGCCGAGGAACAAGCGTTCCGATTCTCCGCCAACATCATTAACAGGAACAGAACTCTGCTGCCCAACACAACCCTCACCTATGACATCCAGAGGATACACTTCCACGACAGCTTTGAAGCAACTAAGAAAGGTAAGAGCAGAGCAAACTTCTGAGCAGCTTTGTGGCCATTTATTCAGCGTAAGAAAGGTCTGGTTTCCAGACCAGCAGCGTGTTCCATCCTGCTCTCACCAGTGATCTGGATGAGAGCTCCTGCTGGAGCTCACCGGCATTTTAACAACTACCTTTTTTCCCTCTGAAACCTCAGAAAACTCCTTTCAGGGTTTGCTCTAATCCTGAGCAAAGGTCTGGAGGCCGTGCCTGTGTTTGTGTCGCTGCATCCCTGGCAGTGTTCACATCCATCGCGTGGATGTTCTGTTCTCTTAATAGCAGTCACTTTTGATTACTGGATAACAGCAGCACACTTGAATTGCTGAAGGGGAGGGACTGCACAGCAAAGGCTGTGAGCTGGTGACCTGAGGGCTCATGGTGTTTGATTCTGGCTGGGGAGAAAGGAAACCTGCTGCCTGAGCTGGCAGCTATCGGAGAGACATCAGCAGGAGGGAGTGACCCCCTGTTCCTTTTCAGATGGTTTTGTGGAGGACGCTCCCTCAGAGGAGCTTGGCACTCCTCTGTGCCTCTACCCACTGGTCTATACCCACCTGGCATAAATCCTCCTCTCTCACTGTGCCAAATCACTGCTGCAATTACCCAATATCAGTGCTGGGTCAGTGCCCACAAGTGTCTGGTTGTCCCATGGTTGTCCCATGCTTAGTCCCCCCAGCCTTTGCTGACATTCCTCCCTTGCCCCTCCAGCCTGTGACCAGCTGGCTCTGGGGGTCGTTGCAATATTTGGACCTTCCCAAGGCTCCTGCACCAACGCTGTCCAGTCTATCTGCAACGCCCTGGAAGTGCCCCACATACAGCTGCGATGGAAGCATCACCCTTTGGATAACAAGGACACTTTCTATGTCAACCTGTATCCTGACTATGCTTCCCTGAGCCACGCCATCCTGGACCTGGTGCAGTATCTGAAATGGAGGTCAGCCACCGTGGTGTACGACGACAGCACAGGTGGGTGAAGGAGGGGCTCAGAGGAGGAATTCTGGAGATTTTCTGTCCTGGGTGTCTTTGGGAGCTTTTCCAATGAATCCTCCAGAGAACCAAATGATGCCCCGTGCAGTGATGGGTTCCCAGACGGTGCTGTGGGAGGTCCTGGGAGCTTTCTAAGCAGTTCATTCACAAAGCTCTCAGCAAGTGGGGCCATGAGCTGGCACTGGGTCATGGGGGGGTTCATTGACATGGGGTGACCATCTCAGCCTGGCTCTTTTGGCACTGTGGTGCCGCTCCGCAACAGAAAAGCCCCTGTACAGCTGCCACGGAGGGAGCAGTTCCCAGCTAAAACCAAAAGCAGTTCTGGTAAGTTTTTTTGTTTTCTAGATACCTCTGTAACACAGAGCTGGCAAAGTTCTTCATGTAAGGAAAGCTGTTGATGGTTAAACAAAGCAGAGCACTGCACAGCTCTAGATATAGACCCCCCCAAAAAACAAAAGCCACATTGGATAGCCTGTCCAACCTAATTTCACTAAACCAAATGGTTTCTTTAGGGGAGGGCTGATGAGAACACAGTTTGACATTCCTGTTTTGCAAATGTGGGTCACAGTATGTTCCCTTCGTGGCATATTCTAATGTGTTTCTTCTGTGCAGAGGGACACGCTTCTCTCTTACCCTTGCAATGGGCATCTGCTGAAATTCTCCTCACAACATCAGATTCCAACAATTACTGCTCAGCTGCATCCACCATGGCTCTTTGCCTTGTGCAGGAAACAGAAATGGATTCTGAGGGTAGTAGGAAGTTACGAGTTGTGATTAAGTGACCGTTACGATCTACGCGACTCATAAATCCAAGCGCATATCCATTTTTTCCTTTTGCTGCTGTGCACAGTAAATATGCAGATTTTAATTTGTTGTGCAGCTGATTATCACATCCTGTCCTTTCTCAAGGGCACATCTGCTTAAGAAAATTTTTTTGTGATCCCAGAGGTGTCTGAGGTTAGGACCAACCTGCTGTTCTCCCAGTGCAGGGAGCCCATCCAGCTCTGCTGGCTGCAGTGGTGGCAGGGAACAACCAGGAAAAGCCATTCTGTCCTAGAACAGCTCCTCCAGTTCATGGCTGAGGTGTGGCACCTTGGCTTTGATCCCTTTGGCAATGGCCATTTGAAGGAGGGACGGATGGAGGGAAGGAGGGAGGGAGGTCCTGGTTTCATTCTGCAGAGGGCAGGGGTGGCACTGAGCCATCGTGCCCACGGGGCAGGCAGCCCTGTAACGCTGTGGGTTTGTCTCTGTGTGACGTTGAAGGCCTGATACGGCTGCAGGAGCTCATCATGGCCCCGTCCCGCTACAACATCCGCCTGAAGATCCGCCAGCTCCCGCTGGACACCGACGACGCGCGGCCGCTGCTGAAGGAGATGAAGCGGGGCCGGGAATTCCGCATCATCTTCGACTGCAGCCACCTGATGGCGGCTCAGATCCTCAAGCAGGTGAGTGTGGGGCCAGCAGGAAAGCAAAGTGGCTGCCAAGCAGCCCACGGGTGTGGGGTGGACATCATGAAGAGTGGCCCTGCCCTGAGGTGCAGCTTTTCTTTGGGCCGCCATCCACAGCCACACTAAAAGCTACAGCTTGTCCATCCTTCAAGGACACTGCTGGATTTCTACAGAAAATGGTGTTTTCACTGAAAAGCTGGAAGTACCAAAAAGTGGCTGCGGGTGAGAACAAGCAAATATTGCAGGAGGAGAAGGGAATGCTGCTGAATGCAGCGCCAGGCCCAGGCTGGTGCTGGATAATTCTGCGGCTCTCCCTGCAGCTGCCCAGCCCCAGCCTTCTTCCCTCTTCCCACTTCCCACTTCTCCCTTCATTCAGGCTGGCTCTCCCAGCCAGGAGGGACTGTATCTCTGTCCCTTCCCCAGCAGTGTCTGCAATTCTTGGACTTTAAGCCAGATGTCAGTGATTTTCCATTCATTTGGGCTCCCTCCTTTCTTCCTCCACTGGAATTCTTACTGCTCACCCCAGCCCCTCATTCCCGAGTGCCTTTGGGTTTCAGGCTCAATATGAGGCAGAGGAAAAGGCTCTCACAGAGATGCTAAAAACCAGCTGGTGGAAGTGTTGCTCCTACCACACAGATTAAATAAATCCCCAAAGGGATGAGAAAGCAAGCACAAGGCAAGAACCTTCTCCTGCAGTCTGCCTGATGCAAAACGAAGGGAAGTGCTCAGAGAACCTGGAAAGCCTGGGAGGGATTATTATGGGAAGCAATAGAAGGGACTCATTGTCTCCTGCCAGTTATTTTCCTGTGCTGGTTGTGTTTGGTGCTGCTCACTTATTATGCAGTTTATTATAGTTTATTGTGCCATCTGCTCAGCTCATCACCGCTGGTGCAGAGTGAAGAAGATGGAGGAGAGGGGGGACTAGGGAAGACAAGTCTCTCTAAGTCCTTCTGGCTGGGTCTGTGTGTGTGTCGGGGTTTTGTCAGGACCTGAAGCCATGGATTTCAGATTAGCAGTAAAAGACAGGGTATTTTTACTCAGGGAAATACTGATGTATTTTCAGAGTCTGGGAAGCTGCACAAACCTAAACCACAGCCTGACTGCTCTCTGCATGCCTGGCCACTCTGGTGTGTAACAGCAGGCAGGTTCAGAGCAGTGCACCACGACCTGCAGGTCACCCACATCTGCTGAAGACTGGGAGGTCCAGAAACCTCCTATTTTCCTCACTTTTCTACCTGTAGCAAGAAATGCATGCCTAGAGGTGCCACTTTCATTTGTGAAACAGCTCTTTTCCACTGAAAGTACAAGCTAGGCAAAGCCATCTCCTTTAGGAGGGGAGTCTGCTTCCCTTTGCAGCAGTAGAAGAACAGTGCACAGAACAAATAATGGGCTGCAAAACAAACACCAGAACCCCAGGGAGGAAGGCCCAGCATTCTGTTTATTCCAGAACCAGTAATATTCATATTTTATTGCTATTATGTGCCTTTTGTAACATTCTGGCTACTACACCAGTCAGCTCTGCAGACATGCAGCTAGACTGAGTCCTTGGAGTCTTTTGGCCCTGCTGCCACCCCCATGGATGGCAACAAGGTTCTCACAGGACTTGTGCTAAAATTTCCACTGCTTGACACTGAATTTCATTGCACATCTTCAGAAAACACAGAAGGTTTGAGCACCTAGAGCCTGTGCTGGCTGAGCAGCTCTGACTGAGCAGTGCACACACCAGTGTGCCAGTCTGGATCTTGCTCTCCATGCTCCCACAGCACAGCACTGATCATCTGGGCAGTTTTTTTAAGCTGGAGTAGTAAAAAAGCCAAGGATTAGTAATCCATGAGTAACACCACATGAGCCAGCACAGATGAGACAGATGAGACTGTCACCTACTGCTCCAGCCTGGGTCCCTTGGAGTGACCAGACATCAAGCCATCCATTATTTTGCCCTCTTGGAAAACAAATAATTGTGGAAACCTATCAGAGAGTGAGTCCTGCTTGTGAGGCTTTCCCATTCTAGCCCAGATTCTCCAGCTTTCCTCAGTTTTGGTCCCTTGCCACTCCAGGTGCTCCCAGGCTGTCCCGAGCAGTCGCTGTGCTCCGCAGGGCACAGCTGTGCCTGTCAGCTCTGACAGAGCTCCTGCTCTCATCCCAGCCACTGCCTGTGGCTTATCCACCAGGATGATCATTTATTCATTTCCCCACAAACCCAGATGCATCCTGCCCCAGGCTGCCAGTGCTTGGAAGCTGGAGCTTCCTCCTGACAGCAGGTCTGGGCTCCTCAGCTATGCCCAGAATGATCCAGCTGTAGAACATAAACTGGGATCTCATTCTTTGCTCCAGACTGGCACCCATCACTAGCTGATGCCTCCCATATTGAGGTGCCATTGTCTCCTTCAGCTCTTTGAACCAGGGTGTGCAGCAGGGAGAGAGCTACACTGCAGCCCCTGGACCCACTGACCCAGCAGGGACCGGGGGACAGGATGGTGAATGGAAACAGGGACAGCCCCCAGACTTTCTCAAAGCTACTTCCAGAGCAGGAAACCTGAAATCACACTCTACAGTCACAATATCTAGGCTTGCAATCCAGATCCTTTCATTTTCCCTTGTTTTTTTGACATCTCACTTCTTTTCAGACTGTCACTTCCTCCCTCGGAGGTAAATTCCGCCCTAGTAATTTTAGCAAAAACCAAGGGAAGCAAACATTTCCTGGGGGGACTCAAAGTCACTTTCCCATCAGTGGGGATTTTAAAGTGCTCTTGCATGTGTTTTCTCCAGAAAACATGCTCACACAGTCAGCATCGCAGCCAAACCCACAGGAATCTTCCTGCCACCAGCTTCAAGGTGACTGCAATGTGTTCCCCCCATGTTGGGAAGGGTCTGGACATGGTCATCCAGCCAAGGCCCCTTCAGCCCACACTTGTCCTCTGAAAGAGCTTCCAGGACAGCCTGTTCTCTCCAGTGCTCAGCTATGCAAATCCCAGCAATCTGCAGGAGCCATCCTGCATGTAGGGGCTGGCAGGGAATGTCAAGCTGTGCTGGCCAAGCGCCCTCAGGACCCTGATCCCAAAAAGCTGAGGGACAGGGGATGTTCCCACTCCCCATCCTTGTGCCTGCACCTTCACTGACCCACTTCTAAACCAGGATCTGACTGTTGTGCTCAGGAAGGAGGGACAGAGGCAGGAGCTCCATGCACTCACTGCACAGATGGAATGGAAGGGGGGATGCAGAACCCCAGAATTAAAATCAAAACCCTTTCAGCTGGTGTGGCAGGCACATTCTTCTCTCTTTCAGGATTTTTCATAGAGGAGCACACAGGAAAGAAAGAGAAAACAATTTATATTTCTTCTCCTTGTTTTTCCCATGTGGAATGTGTTTGGAGAATTGTTTACCTGGAGTGAGTGCTTGGTTGGATTCTGATGAGGATTGTTTGAGCTGATGGCCAATCCAACCCACCTGGGGCTGGACTCTTAGCAGAGAGACAGGAGTTGTGAGTTAGTTAGAAAAAGTAAGTTTGTATTTTTAGTATCTCCTTTAAATAGTATAATAATGTATTATAGTATAGTTATAATAAAGAAATAATTCAGCTTTCTGAACTGGAGTCAGACATCATCATTTCTTCCCACCAGGTTCACCTGCAGTTACAATAGGCTGGCTTCTTAGCCACTACACAGATGTGTGACTGTAAGAACTATAAGAACAGGCCATTTATGGTCAGTCTGCAGAGGTTTCTGTGAGGTTGCTCATGGTTTGGTATTGGAACAGGAAAGGTGACCCCCTTTCCCACAGCTGTGCCAGCAGAACCTGTGGCCCTGGAGGATCCTGCACTCATGAGTGGAGTGCCACAGTGCCCTGGCACACCCAGGGACACCCAGTGTCACCCAGAAATGCCACCAGCCCTCGTGGGAGCTGGGCGCTGAGGCTTTGCCACAGTTTTGGAAAGATTTGAGTACCACAGCTCTGCTCAGCTCAGCACGTGTGCCTCTTGCTGATGAGCCTGCCTTAACTGCTCCATCCTGAATCCAAACCTGGCCTTTCTGGGTCTCTCCTGCCACATTTACCTACGAGCTCTGAGTTTTATGCTGCATGGCTGCTGTTATGTCCTTGTATCCCTTTACTAACCCCTTTTCCCTGCTCTCCTTAAGGCTATGGCAATGGGGATGATGACAGAATATTACCACTTCATCTTCACCACTCTGGTAAAGTATCTGGCTGTGCACACACTGATGGGGGTGGGATGTGAGGGGGCAGCTGGAGAGGAGGGTGGGATGGGTGTCTGGTCCTGGTGTGCACTGCACTGCCGTGGGGTGGGACATGCAAGGAAAGGGGAGAGCTGGGACCCTGCCAGGAGGGGAGGGAGGGCTGGGCTTGGCTGCAGGTCAGGATCAGACCCCAGTGACCTGGCTCTAACTCCTCTGCTCTGCAGCACTGCCTGAGAGCTGTCAGTTCCTCCTTCCCCTGCCCTTGGAAATTCCCTCATTTGGAGTGCACAGATGTGGGTTCTGGTTTTATTTTCCCTCCCAGTCATTTTGATTTCAGTGCAGCTCCCCACGCAGTGTCAATGAGCACAGGCAGAGTGCAAGGCTGCAGGATTTGGTGGGACCCTGATTCAGCAGGAGCTGGGGATGAGCACCCAGGAGCCTCTGGAGCCAGAAGCAGCCGTGCTGTGGTCCAAGCTTCAGCCCTGCAGGTTTATTTTGCAGGAGGGGAGCTCAGCCTGATATTAACTCCCCTCTGTTAAACACGGGCCAGTCCTCTCTGACTCTGGGAGGCATTTGGCTTTCCTGGCAGGGTCACTTTTGTCGGCATTTAAGATGCTATTGTCTAGTCTACTGTTGAATTTTGTACTGTGATTTTGAAAATCCAATTTATCTTTTTGCCTTTAGGAAAGAAACAGACTAAACTAACCCTTAAAAACTACAAAATTTATTTTTTCAAATGCAAAAGACATTTTAATTACCCCTGCTGCCATTATCTATTCCAGGCAGCTTTAAGCATTTCCCAGATAACCTCCTATTAATCAGCCCCAGCTGAGCCTGGAGTACATTTCATGTGTAGGTACAGCCTGGAGGTGGGAAAAGAGGAATTATAATAAATTAATAGATAAGCAATCACAATTAATGCCACTTTCCTGAAATAACAGTTATATCATGGGAAAGATATTTTAATCTGTCATTCCTTAAGGCAATGTTTTCCTAGCTTGCAATGCCTGTGCTTCAGCTTCCCCAGTACGAGACCCATGGGGTGCTAATGAATTAGTCTATTATGTTATACTGAATGTTTCTAAAAGGTCCCCAGTCAATACTGAGCACAGTGTATCAACACTTGGCATGAAATGCTTCAACATTTTGCTAGGCAGCACGACTACAGTTCACTGACTTCAGCATGAAGAGCCCCATCAGCCTTTTCCACCACAGGAGGAGGAGGAGCAGGAGGAGGATCTCTGATGAGCACTGGTCTCTGTCACATCCAAATGTAAAATCCACAGATTTTACATCAAAAGCCCTGCAGGGAACACCCCAGATCTCCAGCAGAGCTGTGGGGGCACCTGGGATGTCCTTCCTGGACCACCTTTCCAGCTTCCCACTGAGGATTTGGGGTCACTGAGGATCAGCCCTCAGCACTGCTGCCACCACTGAGCAGCCAAACTGGGCAAACTGGGGAAGGGGGAGAGCGTCACAGGAACACTGAGAGCAAAATTAAGGGTGGAGGGGAGAATTAATCTGCAGTACAGAAAATAATGAGTGAAAGGGAATGTAGATGAGGTGGAAAATAGAACCAGATGTTTCAATTTGTGGCTGTGCAGGAGCAGAAAATCCAGAAGAAACTGATCTGATGATTCCCATCCACACTCCCCACGTCCTGACACTCAGCTGGTATTCTGAATTATCCTCTGATTCCAGCAGGTGATAAATCAGGCTGCAGCTGAGATTTAAAGTGGAACCAAAGAGGGACCTGATGGGAGGTTGGTTTCTATAGGAACTCGGTGAAAGGAAGGGTCAGTGAGGAGCAACAGGGCAGGGACAGCACCCAAAATACCAGTGGGATCTCAGGGCTGGTGATTTGACAGATGGGCAACAGAGACCATGGGGTCTGGAGCTCAGGGATCTGATTTGTCACACCCGGTCACATTCTGAGGGGGAAATTATTAGCTTTTGCAACCGAAAATAATTTCCTCACGACAATTTCTGGAATGCAAACTGAAGTGTCTGATTAAAAATGAATCTTGAAAAAACAGACCCATTCCAGCAGGTCAGGCACAGAACTGCTGTGCCCCTCTCAGCCAGACGTGAGCACCTGTCTGAGGTCAAACCACTGCATTTGCCCTTAGCTCCCTTAAGTCATTTAAAAGTCAACATTGTGGCCTGTTTTTCACAGTGCCCTTTAACAGAACGTGCAGGTTTGCACTTGCAATTCTTCAGGGTTAAAAAACAGCCCCAAAACCCAACTGCCATTGTAGGGTGATTAATGATTTGGTCCCTGCTGCACCTGCAGGTTTGAGCACTGCATCCATCAGCCGTGAGGCCTGGGGCTGCAGAGGTCAGGGCCAGGCTTACAGAAAAGATGAAACCCCCAAATCTTATTAAGGCAAAACAGCCATAAGAACCCTCACTCCCCCATGGAGAATGATGTCTCAGTTGCTGGCAAGTGCTGCTGCTGCTCTGCTTTGCTTAGGGCAGCACATGTGGGACTTTGCCCTGTGGGCAGATGGGTGCTGCAGATGGGTGGCCCCACAGTGTAGCTGTGTCCCACCAGCACAGCCCCAGCACACAGCAGAGAACAGCTCCATCACACAGCTCAGCACAGCCCCAGCACACAGAATAGTCCCAGCACAGCCCCAGCACATAGCTCAGCACAGCCCCAGCACACAGAATAGCCCCAGCACAGCCCCATCACACAGAACAGCCCCAGCACAGCCCCATCACACAGCTCTGAACAGCCCCATCACACAGCTCAGCACAGCCCCAGCACACAGAATAGCCCCAGCACACAGAATAGCCCCAGCACAGCCCCAGCACACAGTGGAGAAGAGCTCCATCACACAGCTCAGCACAGCCCCAGCACAGCCCCAGCACACAGAATAGCCCCAGCACAGCCCAGCACACAGCACAGCTCCATCACACAGCCCCAGCACAGCCACAGCACAGCCACAGCACCTCCTCCCGTATTGAAGCTCTTTTTGAGAAGCCCTTGTGAGAGCAGTGAATGTCACATATTCTCCCCCACGCTCCATTGCAGACTTGTGGTGTTGCCTTTCCGCCCCCCCACATTTAAACTGCCATGAAACCCTTGCAGAAATTGTTCAGGATAAACGCTGATGAAATATGTCCCGTCCAACAAATGGCTCACCCCTGACTGCCACCTCACCACACTCCCTCACTCACCCTCGGGTGAGCTGCTTGGCTTTGGGGAGCAGACCAGCTGCCACATGCTCCTGTCATGCTGTCTAACCCCAAACTCGCTCCTGAGCGCTGAAGCTGACATTCAGACATGTGGAGAGCCAAGAGCTGCCCACAGCAGCGCTCTCCCAGTGCCCCCCAGTAGCCCCAGTGCCCCTCGCTGCCTGCCAAGCGATGCTCGCAGGCTGGCAGCCAGCAGAGCTGAGCACTGCCTGGCCCTGCTTTTCTCATCGGATAAAGGGCACCCTCATTCATCTGCAGACAGTGTAGGCTGGTTGGAATGTCAAGAAATGCGTCTTAGTTTCTCTTTGATAGTCTGCAAATTGGTGTTTTGCATTCAGAGTAACTCCGTCACTCACAGCACCCTGTGGGCCTCAGCAGTGCCAGCAAATCCTCCATGGAAAGGCCCATGGGAGCTCCAGACACAGAAACTCTGCCTTGTCCCCCCACCCTGGGTCACAAGTCTCTTTTTTCGGGGTCGCAGGCAGTGCTCTGTTTTTCTCCCCACAGTCCCCACTCTCTTTCATGCTCAGACCAAGTTCTTTGGCTCTCTGGTAGTTCCCTTCTGCTGCGTGTGGGGGAACCTGCACATACGGCACCCAGATTCCACCAACACCTCCAGCCTCTGCAGGCAGCGACTGACGGCAGCAGGCAGCCCAATCCTCTGAATTCCCCAGGGATCTGTACTGCCTCCCACCTTCTGCGGGCTCTGCTGTCTCGCTCCAAACACAGACGCCAGCCGACGCAGAAAACTCAAACAAAACAAAGCTAAGCAAAATGTTTAAACCGGTTTCTCTCTTTTAAGGATCTTTATGCATTAGACCTAGAACCATATCGCTACTCTGGGGTGAACCTGACCGGCTTCCGGATCCTCAACGTGGAGAACCCACACGTGTCCTCCATCATCGAGAAGTGGTCCATGGAGAGGCTGCAGTCGGCGCCCAAGGCAGAGCTGGGGCTTCTGGATGGTGTGATGATGGTACGGGCAGTTCAAACAGGGCACAGGGGTCTGGGAAGCAGGGCAGGGTGGCAAGGAAGGCAGGAACAGTCATTAAGGCCTAAATTTACTTTTATTGGTTTTGTACAAGTAGCTACCCATCCCAGGTATCAGCCCTGAGGTGCTTTCTTGCATTAAAAACTGTCCCTCAAAGTCTGGGGTGAAGCCCGCACCCCACTGCTGTGGTAAGGCTCCTGCTCAGGCCCAGCTGCCAACAGATGGCCACCAGACAAGGAAGGTAGCCAGGACATGTCCCAGAGGGCTCCAGCTGTCCCCAAGAGCAGTGGGACAGGATCCCAGTGCTGGGAGCCCAGCACGCAGCCAGACTGGACCAAGCTCTTTGCTGAGATTGAGGAAGGGGAAAAGCACCAACGCCATGGCCAGAGATGGGCTGAGCTGCAGCTTTGATGACTCCTTTTAGGGTCTGATGGCAGCTCTGCTCCGCTGAGTTACTGCTCGGAAGGTACAGCACCTGCTCGCCCATCTGTCTTCCCTGCCAGGCTGTCTCCGACCCCAAACTGCTGACTGGCTCCCTCCTTCCCTCTCTCTTTAGATCTGCCAGAACCAAAGTGGCAAAGCCTCCCAGACTTTCACCTTGAAATGGCTCATCAGATCCCTCCTGTTGTGTTTGTTGTTCGGGGAAGGACTCCCCCTCTCCTGCCTCTCCCCCGGCTGCCCTCTGTGCCTGCAGCAGAGCTCAGTCCCCAGTGCTGCCTCTCCTCCCAGCCCCTCTTTGCTCTCTCAGAGGGATCCTGCCTTTGGTTCCTGTTTGCCAGCTGTCTATCCACTGGGGCCCTGGGCTCAGCTGGGCATTACAGTCTGTAATTCACCATGAAATTGCATGGACATATCCTTGCCCCCCCTTTTCCTCCAGCCCCAAACTCACAAACCTGTCCCTGCTGTGGTCCATACCCGCCCACGGATGCAGGTGGGGCTCCTGCTCTTCATGCTTGGCTGCTGAGGGAAGGGAAGGTCACACGGATGGCTGCCAAGGCTGGGGGATTTTCTCCATGGCTACGTCCTGTGAGATGTTTGCTCAGTTATTTGCTGTATTATTTTGTTTTATTGTGGTTTATTAGGGTGCTGCTACACTCACATCTGTTTCGTGGCTCCATGAAGCCAGCCAATAATGTATTTTCACTAGGAGGTCTTACCACATCAGAGTGAAAAATAAATCCAATTCTCTTGATCAGTGTTTGGATGTAAGATGGGGCATCTCAAATTGAATCTAAAATCATCACATTATACAGGAGGAAAAAAGTTCTCCCTAGTTCATATCACTGAAACACTAGAATATGTTACAAAGCCATGAGGTCCTGATTTTGGTGACAGCTTGTGTCATTTTTGGAAAACTGTGTGCCCACAAAACATCTCTGTTTCTTAATTTCCCATGTATAAAATAGTGCGGAAAATATGTTTTTACACTCAGACAAAACAGACTCAATAAGAAAACTCTGTTACTACCTTCCACATTTAGAAGTCCTTGCCTCCCTCTTTGACACCACAGCAGGAAATGTGCAAGAACAGTCGCTCGCAGACAAACGACACTTCCAGAATCGCTGATTTTAGACAAAGCCCCCGAGTTTTCTGTCTAAACAACCAAGGAACCATCAGGGAACACAGACTGAGGAAAAACCCTGGGGCTGGCGGGGGTAACTCAGAGTGGGTTCCACCTTTTCCCGCGAGTCCCCAGGGCCACCAACGCTGTCCCCCTTCCCTTTAGACAGACGCTGCCCTGCTGTACGACGCGGTGCACGTGGTGTCCGTGTGCTACCAGCGCGCCCCGCAGATGACCGTCAACTCCCTGCAGTGCCACCGCCACAAGGCCTGGCGGTTCGGAGGCCGCTTCATGAACTTCATAAAAGAGGTAAAAGCGTGGTTTTGTTGGAATAGAAACATTCCCCAGGAGGAGCAGGTTCCCCGGGGTAGGTGGTGGAGGTTTGGTGGGTGCAGGGATAGAAAACTCCCTGGAGCAGGAGCTGTGCAGCCCTTCGGTGCTCCCACTGATGCCTCAGGATTTCAGCTTTTCTGTTTTTCATCTATCTGTAATCCTGCAGTTCTTTAGTGCAGAACTCCAAACTCCACGTGCAGTGGGAGCTGCTGCTTTCCCATTTTGGGCAGACACAACAATTCCTCTCCAGGCCTGGCAATCAAGGACACCTCACTGCCTCAGGCCAGAGAGATGGAAACAAAAATGAGTTGGGGGCAGCAAACTTGGGGTAAAATTACTTCATTACCTGACACTATAATTGGAAGATTAACCCTCAATATGCAAATGAACCAAACTTATAAAAGTGTGAAAATCCATTGTCATCAATATTTTGGGTGTAGCCCCTTGTGGGGGGGGCTTCATCTGCCCGAAATTTACCTGAAGGTCCTTCAACAAATATAACCCTTTTTATTCTCTGAATTTTGTCTGGCCTGTGTTTTTAGGTAGCCCAAAAAGGCATCATGACTGCAGCCCCACAGGAGCTGCAGGGCTCAGCACGCAGCTGTGTTTGCTCCAGCTGGCCACGTCAAATATTCCGTGTTTTCCCCGGCTCCCGGGGGGCTCCAGGGCTTCACGTCCCACAGGCAAACCACCTGCACGCCCAACTGAGCAAACACCAGCCTCCCCAGGACTCCAGGGTGGCAAGGCTGGGAGCAGGCTGTCACTGCTCCTCAGGAATTGATGAGGGAGAGCCAGAGGAGCGTATTTACTGGGAGAAACGCCAGTTATTCCCCCTGAGAACACATTATGCCACCTTGATCACGCTGGAATATTTCAAGCTCCCCCACCCATAAAGGAAACACGTTTCCCAGTCTGCAGCCTGCACGGAGCTGCTCAGGGGAGAGATCCTGAGGCTCAGCTCCCCATTGCTGGGATGTGATTGCTGAGCAGCAGCCCGGCATCCCTGCGGGAGCATCCTCCTCAGGACAGTGCTGCAGCACATCCAGCACTGTCCCCAGGCACTGGACACCTCACTGTCCCCCAGCTCCTGCTCTGCTGGCACAGAGCACCTGGCACTGGGGGTTCTATCACATCCTAAACCAGAGAGATGCATTCTAGGGGGGCTGCGAAGTGAACAGTGGGAAAGAAATCAAATTACGGGAGTTTTTTGTGGAATTGAATTGAGGCATCTTTACCCCAAGCTCCTGCTCCTTGTCAGACCAGGCTGTTCAGGACCTCAGTCAGGCAAGCACTGAAAAATCTCTGGGAATGGGATGTCCCCAGACCCAGTGAGTGCCTGCCCTGTTCTTATGCTGCCAAAAACTGAAGTGGGGCACCAGCCCCAGCTCCTGTGCCTGTTTCCAACCTCAGATCTTGCTGGCATGAACACGTTCTTAGCCTCTTCTGCTCCACTTTCCCTCTGGAAAGACAGAGGGAATCATTCCCAACATTTAAGCTTCCACACACCTTGGAAGCATCAGCAAGCTGGTGCACACAAAGGGATTTCTCCCGGCTGGAGCAGTCCCAGAGCCAGCTCCCTGCAGCTGATACCCACAAGGATGAACACAGCTCACAAGGATGCCGTGATAAATGCACGTCCTTTTCTACTGAGTCATCACCTCCTGCAACAGCTGGTGAGCACAAAAGGTGCGAACAGAAATTGTAGCAAGGACTGCAAGAAGAGTTAAGGAAATCTCCAGCTCCGTCTGCAGTCTGAGCAGCAACGGAGGGATTATTAATTAATCAGGCTCTTTAGGGAGAAAGAACCAGCATAAGGACTAATTAAAAGAACATACAGTGGAGGGCAAAAGATTATTTATGATACCGAGTAACAGCCCTGCTACTTTTTCTCCCTTCCACAGGCCCAATGGGAAGGATTAACGGGACGCATTGTCTTTAATAAAACCAGTGGTTTACGGACAGATTTTGATTTGGATATCATCAGTCTCAAAGAAGACGGCCTTGAAAAGGTAGGCAGGGTTTGTTTTATCTGCATGTGGCTGAGGATAACGCTGGTGCTCAGCAACAGAGAAGTGGTTGGTGCTGTATTGATTCCAGGTTTCTGGGGTTTACATAAAAGGATATTCACTTTGTGGGATTTCTCAGATCCTTTTCCATGCTCAGCCATGACTCACTCGCCCTGGAGCCAGCGTGTGGGATTACGGATTGCAGAAGTGCTTGTGGCACTTTCCTGGGATAGTGGAGGCAAAAGAAACTTTCTGAGCATCCATTAACCCCTCCCTGCCCTAAGCAGGCAGGAATGACATCTGTCCCACTCCCTTTTGCTGGCCTGGCTCACAAACCCTCAGCTCTTCTCTGAGGAGACCACAGCACTGGAGATCATCGTGTGGAGTCATTTCCCACAGTGAAATTGCCCAAGGCTGGGAGCAGCCCCAGCTTATTACAGCCTGGAATTCACAGGACGATGCACTGGGTATTTTGTTTATTATCTAAGGGGCAATAAGATAAAAAGAGAAATGTGGCCTTGACTGCCTAGCTGGGGGCATCATGAGGGTCAAGAGCATGAAGGCTGCAGCCTTGGGTCTTCCAAATTAGTGCAGATCTCCTCTGGCACAGTAAAACCATGCTGATGTGCAAATCTGATCCCAGGTGTGCCTGGGGACTTAATTTCCTTCTTTTCAATTACTTAAAAAAACCCCAAACTTAAAATAAAAAGGCAACATGCACAGCCTTAAAGCCCTTAGAATGCAGGTTTCAAGGTGAGATCAGCTAATGACAAACAGAGCAGCGAGCGGCTGGAGCAGAGGGAGCTGTGATTTCCAAGAAATTCCATGGTTCTGACTACTCCGTGAGCAGCTCTGTGTCCCTGTTCTGCTACAGGTGTCTATCACCTGTACAGGAGGAATTTGGCAGGGCAGCAAGGCCCTTTCTAGAGCAGAGTCTGCTTTCCGACAGGTACCAGGTGCCCGTGGCAGTTGGGCACGGTGCTGGCTCTGTCCCTCTGGGCAGGGGGACAGGTTCTGAGCACGCTGGCTCTGTCCCTCTGGGCAGGGGGACAGGTTCTGAGCACGCTGGCTCTGTCCCTCTGGGCAGGGGGACAGGTTCTGAGCCCACAGGACACCTGGCTGGCAGCAGGGAGGGATTTCAATTACCCGTGCATGGCCAAGAGCACAGGGGACTTGTCCAGGGAATTAATGACTCGGCACAGGGAGGCAGCCCCAGGGCTGGAGGTGGATGAATCCTCAGTTTGGAGGGGATGGATCCTGCAGCAGGAGGCTCCCCTGCCACATCCCCCTTCCTCACTGGCTGGTTTTTCCTGGGATTTAAAGTGAATGGCAGCCACACTTCCCCACCACAGCAGCAGCTCAGTGCCTCAGGTAACACAGCTCAAGGTCACCACAGCCTTCCTCCTGCTGGGGAGATTTTGGGGTCAAATACGGAATAAAGGAAACATTTCAAACCAACCCAGTGACCTTCAGTCTCGCTGGTAGAGAAAGGAGGCAGGACAGAGCTGGGGAAGGTACCAGTGCCTCACAAGAACTGAGCAGCAGCTGACCTTTGGAGCCTTATTTTTGTACAAAATATTTTGTTTATAGAGCCTAACCCAAAAATAGCAACACCTCTTTCTGAAGTCCAGCAGCACCGAGGCACTGCTGGAGAGCTGTGTTGGGCAGATAATAGAAAACATGCCAGCCTTTTGTACCACGTGAATCCAAATGTTTAAGCACGGCCACAGATTCACCTGTCAAAGCAACACCCCTCAGGTGTGCTGAGCAGAGCTGGCACCAGCTGCAGTTATTGCAGTTCTCTGTCACATCAAGCCCACTGGAAGCTGCCAAACCTCGACGTGTCCCCTGCACACCCCATCAACTTTTGTCTCCAGTAATTCACAGATTTCACAGTTCCCACCATTATTTTTCTGAAAGCTTCGTGTCAGCTCCAGAGGGGTTTTAAAGTATCGATGTCAAATCTCTGTTGAAGCCAGAATTCTGTCAATAGTTAATCTGAACTAACAAAACCCAAACTACAAACAAATCCCAGCCGGATTGAGCTTTATGTATCACAGCTTATGTTTGTTGAGCTTTAGGATTGAACCCCTGATCCTCATACCTCCTGGATGTTCCAGGGATTACAGGAGTATTACCAAATCCTAATTACATATAGTTTTGACTATCTGACTCACACAGTTCTCTTAAAGTACTTTTTCCTTTTTCTTCCTTTTTTAATATTTTAAACTGATTAATTCAGTCTTAAGTGCCGTGCATTTAATTTTCTTAAAGAAAACGTAGCAAGGCAGAAGTGATTGGGGCTGCAGTGCAGCAAACTGGAGCCTCTCAGACTTGCTTTTTTCCCATACACAATAATAATAATTTTTGACATTGCAGCTGTTGTGTGATCCAAGGCAGAGATGGGGGATCGCTTCAGTTTTACCTGAAATATTTAAAACCTTTCACAAAGTTCATGGAAACTCTTCTAGAATTTATGACAATTTTTTTTGCCAGGCAGCATTGCTCATTACAAAGTCTCTTTTCGGGGATGCTGTAAAACCAAGTTCTCCCCTTGGACTGCTGAAGAGGCTGAAGAATCTTAAAAACAGCAATAAATAAAAGATGGGAAGCTGCTGGCTCCCCGGTGGATTGAGCTGGCTGCCTTTGGCTTCTCTCCGAGTCCCACCTTACAGTTTGACCCTACAGATGGATCGTTCTGTTCCCATTTCCAGGTGGGGTTTGTTTTTTTCTCACTGCCAGGCTGGCTCCGTGGCCACCCTGCTCCATTTGCTGGCAGCACTCCCACATCCCTCCAGCTTTCCTGACATTTTATCTCGCTGTCACAGTCCTTTAGCCACTCCTGCCTTCAAAGTTTGTCCCAAAGCCTCCCCTGCACCGTGGAGATCAGGTTAACAGGCTTAGCCTCGCCCAGATGACTTCCTTAAACAGAGACATGTTTTACCATTTGTGGATCAATAGATTTCATTGAAGTCGAATAATTTATTACATTTGACAGCTTGAGAAAACAGAACACCTGAAATAGAGCTGATGTGCCTGTGCCACCCTCTCCTCCAGGTTTGCAGCCAGGACTGAGACCCCCCCATTGCAGGGATTTCCCAAAGGGGGCCCAGGGCCCTGCCAAAGATGTGTTAGAAACCTCCAGCTGATTTGCCACGGCACAGACAGCAGGAATGGTCCCTAGCAGGGATCTGCAGAGCTGGTCGAGCCATTTTTAATCCTCCCCACCAAAGCAAATTGGTGGGGAAATGGAAAAGAAAGCAAATGGACTCAGACTTGTGGTTATTTTTCTTTAGCTGTGCTTTATCCTTGCCCAGATTTGACTCTTTAGTGTGGTTTGATTGTTGCTCTATGTGGTGCCTTTGCAAATTGTCCATTTGTTCAGCCCCTAAATTCCAGTCCCCACAGTCTTCATCCACTGCAGCAGCACAGGGACCATGGAACACGTGCCACATGTGCCACTGGACTAACCTGCAGCTGAAGGGTTAATTCATGTTAATTCCAATTTTGCTGCTGTTTGCCCAGACAAAAGAAGAAAGTTCCCTTTTCCAGGCCAGTAGGATGCTGTGGGGAATTCAAGGTAGGGATTAAGGAATGCAGGTAGGGATTGAGGAATTGGGTGTGGGGGTTCACTGTGCTGCTTTGCTTCCTTTCAGGTCGGAGCATGGAGCCCTTCTGATGGTTTGAACATCACGGAAATCTCCAAGGGACGAGGGCCCAACGTCACGGACTCGCTGAGCAACAGATCTCTGATTGTCACCACGGTGCTGGTAGGGGACTGCCAGCCTGTCCCTGTCCTTCCCCACGAGCCCCAGGGGTATCCCAGGGATATCCAGTGTCTCTAAAAGCTCTCAGCACCCCAGTGCAGATCTGCTGGAAAAGGCCCTGCACGTGGGCATGGCTCATGGGGCACCCCTGCACAGAGCTGACCTGCAACACCCCAGTGCCACCACCCCTGAGCAGGCTGCCAGCACCCATGTGGTGGCCAGCAAGGCTGGCACAGGCCAGTAGGAACCACAGATGCTGGTCCTGGCCAAATTCCTCCTCTTCAGCTGCCCAGCCCTGCTCCTGTCCCCCCAGGTGCTTCTCGTGCCCAGGAAGCTGCTGCTCGTCCTGCCTGAGCTCTTCTGCTTCCTCTGCCTGGCCAGGTCCCTGTCCCTTGTCCCTGTGCTGGAGAGTGCTCCTGTGCCAAGGGCCCATCCCCTGCTGAGGACTGCATGCTGGAGGGATGGGCAGAGAACTCTCCCTGGTCTCTGCATGCCAAAGGGCACAGGGCACTGGCAGGTGCTGAGCCCCAGGACAGCTCTGTGACACTGTGCTGAGCCCTAGGACAGACCTGTGACACCCTGCTGAGCCCTAGGACAGCTCTGTGACACTGTGCTGAGCCCTAGGACAGCCCTGTGACACCCTGCTGAGCCCTAGGACAGCTGTGTGACACTGTGCTGAGCCCCAGGACAGCTCTGTGACACCCTGCTGAGCCCCAGGAGAGCTCTGTGACACCCTGCAGAGCCCCAGGACAGCCCCAAAAAGGGCTCAGCAGGTTGGAAGCAGAACCTAAGCCAATGACAGATGCTGCAGCAGCTCTCCTTGCAAATCAGCCACTCCTCCTAACGAACTTCCCATCCACCACATGACATTTTTCCCATTAAACATTGCCATGGCTGTGGAATTGTCTGGGTCCAGGCCATGGTTCCCACCATACCTCCAAGGCCAGGGCATCATGCAAAACGATGGAGCCAGGAGGGGACTCTCAGCCTTCTGCCTTTGCCTGACTTTTTTCAGGCAGCATTTCCATCTCAAGCTCTGCTAGCACGTACAAATTACATAAGGCACGGGGTGATATCAGTTCTCATTAATTGTGCCATTCCATGGGCCTGCATATGTGCCAGGGGGCTCCCACCTTGGAACCAGAACTGTCCTGGATCCCTGTGCCCAGGGGAGGAGGGAATGTGCTCAGACCTGAGTTCTGCAGTAATTGCACTGTGTATGCTGAAGCCTGAAACATAAAATACAGCCCTAGATGTTATTTGCATTTGCAACACCCCTTTGTAGTTCTGCACTGCTGTAAATGATGAGAGAAGAGCCATAGGAGGAGCCTCTAAAAGAAAAAGCATGAAAGGCTATTTTTTCCCCTTTTGCTCATATTGCAGGGACTTGTTGGAAGAGAAATATTACCCCAGCAGCCAGTGCCGCTCTCCCCAAGCAATATGGGAACTGTGAAGTTATGAAATTGAGGGCACCTTCACTGAGAAATCGATTAGCAAACTGAGAGAGCTTGTGAATTGGATGTCTGGCTATTTTCAGTAATAAATTGTGAAATAGTCCGTGAATAAGTGGTTCACAGAGTTCAGAATTACCCCCTAGGAAATGTTTGAGACCTGGAGATACATTACTGAAGTGAGCGGCGTCCTAATGTTCAGTGCTTCGGCTGTTAAATATGTATGTAATCCCTACAGCGCTTCCCAAAATTAATAGTGCTTTATGGCTGCTCTGGAGCCGGCGTATTTATATCAAGATCCATAGATTCAGCTGATTCACAAACAAAGCACTAATTCCAGAGCAGAAAGCCGGGGAGGCGGCGGGGGAGCGCGGGATTGAGGCGAGCTGCGCGTGCCAAGCTGAACTCCATGGGTGAGATGTGATCAGCTGGGCTTTGGAACTCTGCAAATGGGGCTCGGTGTGCTGCCACGTCCCCTCCTGACCCTGCTGCTGGGCCAAAGGAGCACCCCCTGCCCCTCTGTGAGAGCACAGAGCCCCTGGGCAGAGCTGGGGTTGGCAGGTGGGCAGTGACAAGCACAGCAGCCCCACCTGAGCCCCCTCCTCAGAGCACCCCACCAAAGCAGGCAGGGATTTAATGCCCTGCCCTCCCACCTCTTCATGCCCCCTGTGCCTGGGCAAAATCACAGAGGGCCAGCACAAAGCCTCTGTGGTTTTGCCTCCCTCACCCTCTCTCTCTGGCCACCCCACAGCAGGGACAGGAGCCCTGCAAACACCCCAAATTTGAGCCAGGGACTCATTGGAGGTACCTCACCTCCTCTTGCCTTCCAGCTCTTGCCTGCTGCCCTACCACATTTTCCATTTCCATCTGTCCTCCACACGTTTTTCCCTCAGGCTCCCCAGTGCTCCTCATCCTCGGTGGCTGCCCAAGCCTGAGAGGCACCAAAGGATGCTGAAATTCGCTGTGTGACTTCACCTGCCTGCTCCAGGGGAGGGATCCACAGGCACTGCTGTATCTCCCGTGCCCTGTGCTGGAGCTCAGCTCTGCTGTGGGTCACACACCCCCAGCCCTCCCGGGCAGCACAAGCACCAAGTTTCCCTGGGCAGTAGCAGGGCAGTGTCCACCAGGTAGTGCCAGCACAGAGGAGCACCAGGGAGCTCAGTGGGGAGGTTTTGGGGCAGCCCCACGTCCCTCACTCTGAATTTCCCCCACCAGCCCCCCGCTCGCTGTGGTGAATGGCAGGTACCGTGCGCAGGGCGCGGGGTGAGTTCGTCCTCCCCCTCTTTTACTGTTTCTAACACTTCATTTTCAGAGCATGAAATGGTTCTTTTTCTCCCTGAAATCCTACCAAATGGAAAACAGTTGGCTGCTCAGAAGAGACAAAATTAAATTTTGTGGGGTAAACAAGGTTGCTAATTAGCTGATGTGCTGTGCAAAGTTAATTTATTCCCAACATGTCACAGTGCCAGCCCTGCCTGGAGAGCCGGTGCCTGGCGGCTGGGGCTGACCTGCAGAGGTGGCCTTGCCTCCAGCTGACCCTGAACTGGGATTTTTTGCTTTTCCTGAGCAGGAGGAGCCCTTTGTCATGTTCCGTAAGTCCGACACGGCCCTGTTTGGGAATGACCGCTTCGAGGGCTACTGCATCGACCTCCTGAAGGAGCTGGCCATCATCCTGGGCTTCTCCTACGAGATCCGCCTGGTGGAGGACGGCAAATACGGGGCACAGGATGAGAAGGGGCAGTGGAATGGCATGATCAAGGAGCTCATCGACCACGTGAGTGAGCCTGGGGGTTGGCTGTGCCAGGCTGTGCCCAGGCTGTCCCTGGAGATGTCCTAAAATTTTACTTTTTCACCCGTGCCACACTTAATTATTACTTATATCAAACACTCAGAACTTGTAATTCATCCTGTGAGATTGAAAACTCTTTTCCACGGACAGAGATCACAGCCAGTGTCTCTGGGGGCTCTGTCCAGGGAGGTTCCTGACCCCTGCCAGGGTCCCAGACCTGCCAGGGCAGCCAGAGGGACCCCAGGCATGTCCCAGACACAGCCCAGCCCCGAGGAGATACCCAGACTGCAGGAGCAGGTGTGCATTGGACAGTTTCATTTTTTATTTTCTATAAGAGCAACTTATTCTCTAAACTCTCCTGGGACACAGAGCTCCCTCTGCCACACAGCAGCTGTGTTTCTCCTTCCATGGCCACTTGCAGAAGCCCATTAAGCCCCAGGGAACCTCTGGCAGCAGCAGCTTTGCTCCCGCGGCCGCCAAAGCGTCGCCGCGTCTGGAACCGCCACTCGCGGCCAGAGGTTGCTCACTTTCCTAATTAGATATCTTGCCTCCAGCACATCCTGTGATCCCAAGGGCCCAGTTATGGAGGTGAGGAAAGCTGGTGTCTTTATGAATATCTGATTCCCAGAGAAGGCCTCTGGAAGGAAAGCTAAGGACAAAAAGCAGCCCTGCTCTCTGCAGCATGGGCAGCAGTGCAGGCAGGCAGAGCCCTCCTCCTGAGTATGCTCAAGTGGGGCAGCACTTGACCACCTCCAGGTCCTGGTTACATTCTGAATCCACAGCCTAAGCAGAAAGCATGGGTAGTTTGTTCCTTGAAATGGGTCCGTGTCCCTTTCATGAGGAGGAGTCCCAAAATGAGGAAGTCAATGAAGTCTTCCTCCTTCTGGCCTTTCTACCTTTTCAATGCCAATATGACAAATGAACTCTTGGTAGAACTCCCATTCCTTGTCTTCAATTGGTTTCAGAACAGAGGAGGCCCACAATTGTCTTATGTTCTAAAAGCTCTTTGTCAGTTTGTGTATTCTTCATTATAAACCCAGCTAACTAAACATTGTGCTGACAAGCAATCAATTATTAGTTAACTGCTAACTCCTAACTCCATCAAAGCCTACTCATTTATTTTAATTAACTCTAGTAAGGCTTATCTCTACCTAAAATCTTAGTGCCTCTAAAATCTCTAAATTCCTTAAAATTTACATTTCACAAAGGAGGTGCCACCAAGGGGGTAAATTCCCAAAAGCTGGCACCCCAAAGGTAAATCATGTGCTGGGACAGGTGTTTACACAGTGAGCACTCTGGGCTTGATGCAGTCACAAATCCTCCCCCTCTGCTCTCTCTGATCCAGACGTGCCTGGCCACAGGCAGGGATGCCTCGGGCTATGATCCTTTGTAAAATCCCTGTTTCTAGTCTGGCCTTAAGCATAAACAGGAAAAGCAACAGCAATCAGAGCAGCCACAGCACGACCCTGTGTCCGACAGGTCCCCAGCAGCAGATCCAGAGACAACAGCCTCGTGCAGCTGAATGCAACAGCCCTGCCCCGCTGCCTTTCATCTGCTGCTCATCCTCAGCACAAAAAGTCCCTGTTTTGAGGAGTTCACTTCATTCCCTGGAGAAGTAACCTCAGACTACTGCTTATTGTCACCCCTCTGGCCATTCCCACAGAGGAGCCTTGATCAGAAGGGCCACGAGAGCTGAACTCAGGTATTCAGGGAGGTCTGGGAGCCCAGGTGATGCACAGAAGCTCCTGAGCCCTTTATTCACAACAAACAGGGAACCTGATAACTGCCAAACCTCCTCCTTTCAGCAGCAGTGAACTGCTATTGATGTTTATTCATAGAAATTATTACTGATACAAGCAAAGCTCCACTGCACACTGTGGCCCATCCGTTCTGATTTATAAATTCCAGTTGTCTGGCAAAGAAATGCCTGCAAATCTTCCCTATTGTTTGTGGGCAGGATCCCATAAAACCAGCAGAATGAGTTGTTCTGGACATTTTGCACAAAGTTGTTCACAAATAAAACTTGTCTTCTGCTGCGACAGCGCACATCACCTTGCCATTCCATCTGAAACTTCAGGTGGGAATAAAAGAGATGTGGCAAATCCTGGGGTTTCTAATGGAAATCCCTGCCAATAGTAACTGTAGAGGACTTGTAATATCCATCCTTAGGGACGATTCCTGACAGCTGATTTAACAATGCCACAATAAGTGGGCATTTTCTGACAGTAAATTTTGGCAGAAATACATATCGCACCACACTTCCAGCTCCCCGTTAATGCTCCTGCACTGATGGATGTTTTATCTCACGTGTCATGAACCTGGGGCCAGGGATAGAGGCAAACAATTTAATGGGATGAAGTGTCCTCCACCTTTTTTTAGACAGTGCAGGACCTGAGTGTTTGGGGCAGGATGGAAATAAACCATAAGGTCTTTTCCTTTTGTGCTCAGATCACTATTGGGTGGATTCTTGACTGGGTGATACTCAGGGATGCAGGTGAAGGATGTGTGTACTGGGAGCCCCGGGCTCTCTGTGTGCTCAGCAGCTGCCCCTGCCCCTTGCTGGCTGGTTCACCTGCCACAAATCCATAGGGTAGAGCTTGTTTCTCACCAGAATCCTCCAGCAGTGCCATTCTCACCAGAATCCTCCAACCTTCACATCCCTCAGGTACAATTAATAACAGTTCCAACTCTGGAGATCTTTCTTAAAGTGAAGATTAGAAAAGCCCCACCAGGACCTCATGGCCCTCATTCCTCCCCTTCAGCTCACAGCTAGGCTTTTCCTGACAACATCTGTTCTTAATTCACCCTGCTATTTAATAAATCAATTGACAGAAATGATGTCTAAATTAGGGCTGAGGTTGCAGGAGCAGCTCAGACTCAGACAGTTAGCACTGACCCCGCTCTCCTTGAGCATCCCTGCTCCCAGTGAGTGCTTCCCTGGCCCTGGGCAGGCACGGGGGCTCTCCCAGAGCACTCCCACAGCTCTGCCACAGAGACACAGAGGGATGACAGTGCCAGAGCTGGGTAACAATTAAATCAGTAAAACACACACACTATTTCTGTCTCTCAGGCAACACACACATGATTAGTTTATGTAAATACCTAACGCAGACTGGCAAAATAAGCACAGAGGCAGCTTATTTTCCTGAATAAATATTTATCTTGATGCTTATGCTGTTGGTGGGCTCCTCCATGACCAGCCGCTGCCTGCAGGTTGGCTCTGGCTGATGTTGGACGCTGCAGGATTCCCACAGTGACCAGAGCTGCACAAGAGCTGTCCTGACCCACAGGCCACATCTCCCTGATAACTGAGAACCTGGAGATAAGAGCTGGCATGTTCTGATGAAAGCCAAATATCTCTGCAGCAAACACGATCATCCCTGTGCTGAACGCCCGGTGAACTCACAGCTGTTCCAGCCAAGTGAAACGCTGGAACTGGGTGAGTGAGGAGATCCAAACCCTTGGAGGTGTGTTGGAGAAGTGTCTGTGTTTGATGTGTAGCTGCCTTGGCAGAATTCATCTTTTTGGCCTCAGTTCAGCAGAACACTTAAGAACAGGCACAAGACTTGGAAGACGTGTGAGCTCCAGTAAAACAGAGGTGCAGGCTTAAGTGGTTTTGCTGGACAAGGGTCTTAAAGCCACTGGCACTTGCTCTAATTCCTCATCTTTAATAAAACCCGCCTGACTGCAACAGCACAAGAGCCAGGGCTGAGTAAAGGAAGCTGCCAGAGTCTGGTAATTGACTGCCCAGTTTGGAATGTCAGAGCACGACAAATCAAAGCTTCACCCTTGGTGGGTTTGATTTAGATCCTCTCTGTCAGCAAACCCTTAATTAGAGGCCACCTTCAGAAAAATCTGCATCGATAAAAAGGATATGGAAGTGCAGCCCTGTGCTGCCTCTAATTGCTCAGGACACACCCCAGCCCAGGCTCCAGAATCCGTGCTCTGTCCTGCCTGAATGTGACATTCCCTGCAAGGACACAGGGCTGGGAGCACATCACAGGAGCTGCTGGAGCCACACAGTAAAATTTTATTTCTGTGCTAAAAGCAGTTGGATCTCTGGGCATCCATGCAGATTTCTCTCTTTTCATTTTCTGTGGCAAAGCACAAACTCCAGGCTGTTCTTTAGCTCACTGTATCATTCTGACAAATTTGGCCGAGGATCCCTCAGCCTGGCCATTGCCAGCAAGCTCTGACCATAGAACATTTGCTCCCTCCTTCAGAAAAACCCGTGGCCAAATCCTTCAACATCCTCTTTGCCTTTCCCTGGTGAGTCAGGACACCCACACAGAAGCAATGGAGGAGGGAAAATGCTGCATTTCTTTTGCCATTTCTGCCTTGTGACTGTGCGGAGCCCTAAGCCAAAATTTCCAGGTGTGCTGTAAGGTGGTGGGAGCAGCCAAGCTCCAAACCTGCCAGGATGGTCCCCAGGATGCAGAACATCCCCAGCTCAGGCTGGGCAGCCACCAGTGCCATTTCCAACCCCCTTCAGCTCCTGTCCATGTCACCACAACCACAGCTGGCACAATGGGCCCACTGGGAAAATATTGTTCCCATTTTCCACAGGTTTTGACAAATGCCAGTGACTGAAATGAGCTCTTCCTCTACCAGGATGATATAAAAATGTATTTCCATTTGGAAAGTGAGAAGGAAAGGAAACCAACCAGGGCTGGCAGCTGGAGAGCCACGTTAGAACAAAACCACATCATTTTTACCCTTGTTACATAATTCCTGAAGGCCTCTGTTCAGGAGCTCTAGGGCAGGGTCAAATGAAATCTTTAGTGCAACCTTTACCCCCAGCACAGGCCAGGCATCTGCTCTGGTTCCTACAGTGAACCCCCAGTTCCTGCTGAAGCAAAGTATGTTCCAGCCAGTGTTGATTTAAAGTCCATAAATAATGACAAATCTACTGTATCTCTAGGTAATTATCACTTGTGGGTAATTTTAAATTTTAATTTTCAGAACCAGATGTTAAATAAATCTCACCCGGGCTCCTGGCATGGGGGGTGGTTCTGCTCAACTTCAGAGCTGTAATTTATGTGTCTATGTTTCCTTGGAAGTTCACAATATCAAAGAATGATTTGCAAAGCTCAGGCAAGGAGGGTGATATTGAGGAGAGTTTGGATGTGTTTACTTGTGGCTTTTAAGAACCTGGCTGAATGTTTAGTGAGAGGAACGAATGCAGCACTTAACCAGCAGAGAGAGAGTGAATGTGGTTGCTCACTGAATTAACACACAAATTAGTAAATAACACAAATAATAGAAACAGCTCCCTGCAGCTCCATCCACACCCTCCTCTCCTCTTGCATCAGCGTGAAAGGCAGGACAACAACAAATGAAAGGAAGGACGACAACAACAACAACAACAAACCACTGCTGCCAACAGCAGGGTCTGCACACAGCCTACTCGCTGTTATAGAGTCTTGTGGTGAGGAGCAAGCAAGACAAGGGTCACTGACACTCTAGAACTCTGTAAAATCTGATTTTTCTGACCATTTCAGAAGAGCTCGTGGCATCAAGGCAGAAGCTGCAGAGGCTGTAACACCTCCATTTGGTCGTGCTGTATTTTACAGTGAGCATTATACCCCCAACATCTGTATTTTACAGCAAACACTATACCCCCAACATCTGTATTTCACAGCAAACGTGTACCACGTGTGCAGAAGCAGGGGGGAGCCCCAGGGCTGCTCTTTGGGGGTTTTTGGCCTGTTTCTGCTGTGTGAAAGCTGTGGTGTCTCCAAGGGGATGGAAACACCTCGGTTTGTAACTCCTCCTTTCTCCCTGCCTGTGTCCCCTCCCTCTGTGCTGTTTGCAGAAAGCTGATCTGGCCGTGGCTCCTCTGACCATCACTCATGTCAGGGAGAAAGCCATCGACTTCTCCAAGCCCTTCATGACCCTGGGGGTCAGCATCCTCTACAGGAAGCCCAACGGGACCAACCCCAGCGTGTTCTCCTTCCTGAACCCTCTCTCTCCTGACATCTGGATGTACATCCTGCTGGCCTACCTGGGGGTCAGCTGTGTGCTCTTTGTCATAGCCAGGTAAGGGGTCCCTGCTGGCAGCTGCAGCATCAAACCCCTGTCACCCCCGAGATCCCCTCTGCTCACTTTCACACACTCACAGCATGAAAGAATTTTAAGTTTTCAGAAGTTTCGCAGCCTTTCCATCTCGTCTGCACCTCCTGCTGTATGAAGAGAAGTGTCTCTGCATCATTGTCCATTCATCCTCACTGCACCTTCCCAGCCTCTGCTGGGACCTGAGCTCCATCTCCCCCTCCATCTCCCACTCCTGTCTCTGATCCCTCCACCAGTAAAGCTCACGCAAGCACAAACCCTTCCCTATATCAAAAGAGTGGAGAAACCGTTGCTACGGATCAGACAATGTGTCTGTTTACAAAATTAATATGCATCTAATTAGCATGTTTAAATCCTCTATGTTTAAAGGCAGAATTTGCATACATTTGCATGACTTGTTAATTCCGCAGGGCCTTTGATGAGACACAGTCCAGGGTTGCTCTCAATCCATGATCCCACCTTTCCAAATCAAACCAAAGCACCTTCCCTACCTTCCCTCTCCTGCAGGCAGGTGCCCTCCATGACCACACACAGCCCTCGATGGAATATTTTGCATAAACACCATGTCCAGGAAAGATTCCTCAGCCCACTCTGCAGTTTGATGCTAATTTCTTGTTATTTCCAGTTGAATTTATACCACTGGGGATTTCAGAACCCTCCCTGTTTTGGTTTGGGAGTCCATGCAGACACTCTTCCCCAAGGTCTGCTGTGCTCCACCTTCCTGGGAGCATCCATCAGAAACCTTCCTCCCTCATCCACTGACCTGAGCCAAAGGAAAGACCAGATACAGAGCTGGAGCAAGCAGACTCCATTAACCCTGATGGTACAGCAAATCTGCAATTTTCAGCATCCCTCAGTCCAGGGGGGCATTTAGAGCAGATTTCCTGCATTTACTCTGTCATATCCTAATTACACAGAACAGCAGAGTGAGCTGGGCATGAGTGCTGTCAGCACCTGCAGTGTTCACAAGAGGAGCTTGGATTTTTCCAGCTCTTAATGGCCACATCCAGCCCAGATTGTCCAGATCCCACTTTCACAGCATGTCAAACATGCATGCTGAGGCAGGTACACCCCCTGACCCCTCCTCTGCACAGGGGCAGAGCTGGACATTTGTTTTTCTCTCAGAGGACGTGAAGGACCCTCCCTGATCCAGATTGCAGCTGCAATTGCCCTCCTGCCTTGTCTTTGCTGTGCCTTCTCACCCAAGCGTGTCAGGGATAACCAGGTGCTCTCAGCAGCACAAGACTTGGGTTCCCCAAGGTAACCAGGAGAAGGAAAATCCCGTGGTGGCTGATGGAAAGGCCTTGGCTGTGTGTCCCTGTCACCCAGGCAGGACACAGCTGAGTGAGGCAGGGCTTGGATGGCACCAGGCACCAGCCTGCTCGTGGGCCCTGCAGTCACAACTCGAACACAATTTTACATTTAGCAGCTTATTTTTCCCAGCTCATAATGACCAGATCCAGCCCAAATTGTCCAGATCCCGCTTTCAAACATGTTAAATGTGAGAAGTGTATCTGCACGTGAAATGCTGCAGAAAGGCTGAAGGAAATGCTGGGACAGGCCCTGATGTGAAAGTCCCTCAGTCACCACTTCACACAAACAGGAATTACCCAGCCTTGGTTTTTGGCTGATGTTCAGGGATGAAAACCTGAAGAACTCTGACTTTGTCTCGGGTTTTATTCTGAAATGACCCTCAGCATCTCACTCCATCACATCAATTACAATGTGATAGAACAATATTTCCCTATCAGGCTATTTTTTGGACTAAGTTCAACACATAAAATATTGCAATTACAGTTTCTTTTTCACGTTTTGCTCCTGAAATTTCTTCTGTCATCCTATTCTTTCAAACAACACCAAGTACTCAGGGTAATTAAAATTCTGCAGGAGTGGTCTTTTAACACATAGAGATGGAAGGCAAGAGATTTCACAGGGAAAATATTTATTGCAGTCAGAAGTAATGGAAACAATATCTGCTTTTGACCCCAGCACGGCCTCTGAAATCAAATTCTCAGAAGAAAACCACAATCAAAACAGAAAAACCTTAATTCAGAGACATGACTCTTCTGAACTAGGCACCTGAGCCCTCTGCTCATGCCCATAACCATAGGTCAATGCCACTTAAAACAGACTCAGGAACTCTTTAGAGGCAGGCAAAGGATGGATGTGGTCCAGCTGTCATTTTAATCAGCCTTTCTTCGCTATTGATGGAGCCCCTGCTCCCAACCAGCCCCCAGAGAGCCATCAACACTGGCTGTCCCCACAGCTCCGTGGGATGCTGTGTCTGGAGGCTCTGCTGCCAGGCTGGCACCTTTTCTCAGGCTCACACAGCTCCAAATTACACCAAACCCCTCTGGCTGTGTGGCAGGGTGGGTGGGTTTAATTTCATCCTAATTGCAGCGAGGTCTGGGACATCCATTGAAAATTTCTCTGGAGATGCAATTTAGACTCAAAAGTATTTTGTGTTGGATCTTTTAAACTTCTTTGAAACGCTTCCATTTCCCGCCCAAAAAGCCGAAAGAGACAGAATGATCCTAATTTTTGATGAAATATTTCTCAGAGGCCACAGTGCATGTGAGGATGAGGGGAGCCAGCCACAGAGAATCCTGAGTTCCCCCATTGATTTGAGCTCTGGCTCTATGGGGTCAATGAGCTCCTCTCCCTCCTTCCTTCGTTACCTCTTGTTTCCACCGATGGTTTCTCTGCTCAAGCACTGGAGGCTGTTGCTGCTTTGCAGATTTCTGAATATTTCTCTGTCATTTGAGCTGCACCAGTAGGTTTTTGCTCAGACCTTGAAGTTCTCTAGCGTGTCATCTTGCCAGGCTCATTGATCTTACCCATTCCCTTTCCTTTTCATAGTCTTTCATTGTCAGCCCAAGAAAGTTTTAATCTAATTCCTGAACCCTGGCTTTAACCAACAGAAAGGACCAAGACACCATCCTTCATCCACCTGTGGTGGGAATCTATAGCAAGTTCCAAGGAATAAGCAGCACATAAAGCCAGGTCTGAGTTCAGCCTGGTGCTTGTTTCCTTGCTGATTTCCTCCGATTTAGGGAGCAGAGGATGAGCAGCAAGGGCAGCCCAAGCACTACCTGGATGAACAAGCAGCAGTGTCGGGGTGCAGCCTGAGCAGGACCGGTGTTCCACACCCCAAACCCAGCCCAGGGAACAGCCCCACCGCAGGAAGTTGAGACAAACCAAGGAGGAACAGAGAGATCATTAGACTGTACTTTGAAGGTGGAAAACAGAAGCAAAAAGTGGCACAGCTGTACCCAGGGAAATCTTTGCTAAAGCCACAAGAGCCGTGGGCTGTGCCTTGTCCATCTCAGGGATGGTTTTCCCCCAGACCCCTCCCGTGCTTGGCGCTGCTCCGGTCGCGTGCCAGGACCACGGCTCTGCACTGACACGTGCCCAGGGCAGGTTCCAGTGCCAGGAGGTTCCTGGCACAGAGAGCTGGGGCCCTTCTCCAAACAAACCCAACTGTCTGAGCGAGGCCACCCCTGGAATTGAGCCATGAACCCTCTCCTTGGGTGGTGGCGCATCTGGTGGGGAATTACAGAGGGAAGCATCTCCTGATAGAGGCTGTGGGCTGGGCTTTGAGAAGGGGCTGTTGTGAATCTCCAGGGATTCCAGAAGGAAGCGGAGATGATAATTAATGCCTGGTTCAAAAGCAATTATACCAATTATGTTTTTAATTTAATCTCTACAAAATTTGGGACTCTCAGAAAATGTAAATAAACAGCTCTAAAAATATTAACATCTCTCCTGTTTAGCATCCTCCCCAGATCCTGGCTAAACGAGCTCATTCCCAGCAGTGCTTGCCTGCCAATCTTGGGCAGAATCTGCAGAGATATTCCCAGGAAATTCCCTCAGTCTTTCTCAGGAACTGCAGGGCTATCCATGGAAATTCATCCCCACAGGGAATAAGTTTCTGCCACTATCCACCACAGGGCAAAGTGACATCCACAATCCACAGCAAACTGCCACCACATTCCAGCATTCTGCCAGTGCCCTGACTGGGCCAAACTCCTGCTTGTCAGGATGGTGGAAGCTCTACTTCTCAGTGACCTAAATTCCTGATTCCCATGTGCATTGGTGGGGGAATATCCTGAAATACCAGCTTGTCCTTGCTGCTGCTGCAGAATGACCAAGGCTTCTCCTCAGTCAATCAAAAATGCCGTTTTTTCTCATGTTTTCAAACTGTTACATACAAGAGGTTACATGCCTGGACCCTATCCCATCCCATCCCATCCCATCCCATCCCATCCCATCCCATCCCATCCCATCCCATCCCATCCCATCCCATCCCATCCCATCTCTCTGTCTTTTTGGAACCACCAGGATTAAGGAGAAGAAGTTGACAAAAACCAGAAAAGTTCTTAATTTTCAAGAAATTTATGCATCATGTATGAGATATCGGAATATGCACCAGGCTGTTGATTTTAAGGTTATTCCTTTGTTCACAAGGGATGCTTGTCGTGACTCAGTGTCCGAGAGCATCCGGACGTCCGTAATTCTTTGCTTTTTATTGTCTTGTAATTGTCCTAACTCTAAATTTTATTACTCTAATTGTATTGCTATTTTTATAGCCATTTTCTTATTATTAAACTTTTTAAAATTTTAAAACCCAAGTGATTGGCTTTTTCACACTCTGGTTCCCCTGTGTGCTGCAGGTTCAGCCCATACGAGTGGTACGACGCCCACCCCTGCAACCCGGGCTCGGACATCGTGGAGAACAACTTCACCCTCTTGAACAGCTTCTGGTTCGGGATGGGAGCGCTGATGCAGCAAGGTAGGGACAGCAATTTTCAATTTTTAAATGGAAAATTTGTTTTGGATGCAACCTCCCAGCACCTCCTGGCCCCTGCAGCTCCAAGGAGGAGCACTGCCTTTATTTCCCTCAGCTGCTTCATTCCCCCACATCCCACAGACTCTGCAAATTCCTATTTCTGTTAATTCCAACCATTTGTTCAGTTTCAGAATCTCTGACCTGGCTCTCTCTCTGTTCTAAATCAACTTTTCCAGCAGCCTGGGTGCCTTGCCCTGTGCTCCATCCCCACTTTTCCCCTCCCTGGTCATTCTGAGCAGTGTGAGATGCCCTGAAGCTCCCCCAGCCTGGGCAAAGGCGAGGGGCTGCCCTGGGAGCCTGTGCCCAGCAGCCCCTCGGGAGAGCTGCCAGTGGCACTGGTGTGAGCCACCACGGCCACAGGGACCTCAGAAATGGGATAGGGATGGGATTACATCCCTGTGTGTGAATGGAATAGAGAGATGCAGTGAATAGAATAAATCTGTTCAGAAGGCAGCAGGGGGGGAGCTTGGGAGCAGCTCTGAATAAGGAACAAAATTCAGCTGTGATCTAATTGCAGAAAATCCAGGAATAGAAATAAGTGGAAAATGTCAAACATTTGTCACACTTTAATTTACCGTGTATCAGTGGTTATATCCAGAGAGCAAAAGAAGCACAGCCTTGGCTCAGTGGCAGGCACAGAGCTCCTGCTCTGAGCTCCACTGCTGCCTGTAATAGAGATTCCTCCTGGATCTCAGCTGCCCTCATGGACAGTGACAGTTCCCAGCAAGAGGGTTTAGCAGGATGAATCATCCCTCTTATCAGATGCTGATAAATGAAAAGAGCTATATTCTTTTTAACTCAATTCTGCATCTGAGAAGAAAAATATTTCAAAGCCAGACTGATGTCACAGCATCCAATGCATCAAAGGGCCGGAGATGGGAGAGGGAAGAAGCAGGATCTTGAGGAGAACCAAAGCACCCTCAATATCTGCGACTCCTCCTCTTCCTGGTGTCTCCTTGCTGCACTCTGAAGGGAGGAAAACTACACCCCATGCTCTGCTTTGATGCCACACTGCCTAAAATTGCTTTGCAAAGCCCAATTTTTGTTGCACTTTCCAGGCTGATAAATCCTCTGAGCACAGCTGTTTCAAACCCAAAGCTCTTGCCTGGCTTTAAAAGGTGTTTTGGGTGATTACAAAAATAGCACAACCCATTTAGCCCTTCATGTCTGCTCAATAAAAGTCATTCCAGACCCACTACACCTTTTATGCTGTAACGTCTCCTGCTTCCCCACTTCTGACTGGCATTCAAAGCCCTGGGCCCTGATAGTTCCTTTCTCTTGGTGTTTGATTTTTTTTAAAACCTTGTGTATTTGAACACACTCCCCAGAGTGAGTCTTTTGAAAATAATCTGTATAAAAGCAAAGCCCTTTTTAAATGGCAGAACAAAACACTCATAAAAGTTCATAAATAGCTTGCTATTTAAATCTCATAAAAGCAGCCCAGTTAATTACTTCAGTTTGGATGTTTCCTGTAAATTGGGCACTGTACCCAAGGTCAGTAATCAAGGAAGAGGGTTTTTCTGCAAATGCTACAAAAACCCTACTGATGTCCTCACACGCAAGATGTCTGGATAATTTGCCTCAAAACCAGTTGGCTTTAATTGCATAGCTGTAACAGTTTTGACAGTGAAACTTGATCACACACACACACATATATATATATATATATACACATATATATATATATGTATATATGTATGTATATAAAATGTAGATATGTATAGTAAAAATGCGACAAACCCCAGATACAGGAAGAAATGATGATGTCTGCTCCAGATCAGAAGGTTGAAGGATAGCTTTATTAAAATATATTTATTAATATACTATTTAAAGAGAGACTATCCTATTCTACATACTTACTTCTTACTTACCCATCTAACTAACTCAAACTGGTGACTCTGCTGAGAGTCCAACCCAGCTGGATCCATTGGTCACTGACCCCAAACAACCTTCACCAGAATCCAACCCAGCCACCACTGCAGGTGAACAATCTCCACACCACATTGCACATGGGGAGAACAAAGGAGCAGAGATAAAGATTGTTTTCTCTTCTTCTCCCTGTGTTTCTCTAAGAAATCCTGAGAGACAGAGTTATGTCTCTCCATCCAGAGAATGTGACTGTCACACGTATGGATACATAAAATGGGTTCTTTCCCTCTCTTGCCTCTCCCCTCCTCCCCCTGTCCCACCCCAGGCTCGGAGCTGATGCCCAAAGCCCTGTCCACACGGATCATTGGTGGCATATGGTGGTTCTTCACCCTCATTATCATCTCGTCCTACACGGCCAACCTTGCGGCCTTCCTGACGGTGGAGAGGATGGAATCCCCCATCGACTCGGCAGATGACCTGGCAAAGCAGACAAAAATAGAGTATGGAGCAGTGAAGGATGGAGCTACCATGACCTTCTTCAAGGTGAGACCAGGCAGAGGCTCTCTACCTTCCAGGCAGAGATGCCAACGGGAGCCAGGACAAAGATCCAAAGACAGAAATCCTCCCAAGCCGCCCCTGCTGCTCCTTCTTTCAGTCTCAAATCTTGCCCAGACTGAGACTGTCACTCACCTGAGTCCCACCAAGGTTAAATCCCCCTCCCTGTAATTAACTGAAGTCACAGGTACAAAATTAAACTGATTTTACACTTTTGCAGGCTCTACCCGATATTGGCTCAGACACCCAAAAATGCAGCATGTGCCCAAGTGCAGCTCATATTAAAGCCCTGCAGAAAAATCTTTCTTTCCCTAAAGCCCCTTCCCAATTTCCACATCTGACCCATCCAGCTTCTTCCTTGCCTCTGCCAGCACAGCTCCATGGAGCCCCCAGGCTGATCCAGCCAGCCTTCAGGGACAGAGGAGAGCCCAAATGAAGCCCACAGATGGACAGATGCTGCAAAGTGCCCTCCCTGACCTGTATTTTTTATAGCTGAAATATCTTTCTTGTCCTTCAGGTATTCATATCAATGTAATCCAGTTTTATTAACCTCTGAGATTCAGGGCAAGGTAATACTACCAGTGCATCACAATCCAATTGCATTAATTTCGTCTATTTAAAGCATAATTAAATTCAGAAGTCAGTCAGATTCCACCATAGCCTCAAAAACAGAAAGAAACTGAGAGATGTAAAATGACCTTTAAAACCACTGCTGGCCTGTAAAAACCCAGTCTGAAAAGAGAGAGAATAAAGGGATAGAAATGAGGGGTGATTAAGGAATTATCACCCTGGCAAGGAAAGAGGCCCAAAGGAAGATCCCAGGCTTTGGCTCAGGAGTGGGAGCTGGCTCCCCCACACCTCTGTCTCCTTCCCCCTCCACCACCCTAATGCAGAAGGAAATGCATGTGACTAGCACAGTTCAGGCTTTACCAAGCACTTTGTGCCTGGTGCTGCAAGATTTAAGCAGGCACAGGGTGATGGCAGCTTGACGAGGCCTCCGTGGTTTAATTGGCACGACTCATTAAAGGAAGCCAATATGCTGGATTTGAATAATAGAGGGAGCATTGTTCCCATGCAGCTTCTCTTGGCTCTGGTCTGGCTGAGAAGCCGCTGTCCTCCCTGGATCTGTGTCCTGACTCTGCCAGGCAGCAGCAGAGGTTGATAAAGAGCCACAGAGGGGATAGTTTGGTCTCTAACAATTCTGGGAATGCCCAGTTTGCCTCCTGCCACGGAGCTGGTCTGTGCAGTTCTGCCCATGGCACAGGCAGATGTGTGGTTTTGTCTTCCAAAGCCATATAACCCTGGAAGAGCAGCAGGGAAAGGCAGACTGGAGCTGTGTGCTTTAACTGCACTTTCCAGTACGAGTTTTATATGGGAATAAAAGGAAACCGTCTCTTTTAACAATCATCAGGACACAGCACATTTATTGCTTCATATCATTATCCATCAGAATCATACTTCAGGCTTCTAACGGCCTTGGCATGGTTTATTGATGCAGCGTATTTTCCTTTTCCTTTTTATTATCACTGTTGTATGGAGATGAATTCTCAGGGATGTCCCTCCTGACAAGCATTTCCATTACTGGAGCAGTGGGAGCTCCCACGTGGGATGCTCTGCTCACTTGTCCTCCCTGTGCAGAGGGACATGGGAGAGACAGGGGTTCTCCCTTTTCCAACAAGGTCGTCACTGCTGGGACAAAAGCCTAATGGCAGCACACCAATGAGGGTCTCACCTGCTCCGTGGATTACCTATATATTTAGTATATTTAGCTATATTTGGCCCAGATTTGTGCCTGGCTCTTTGTGTGGCTGCTCCCCAAATTCCTTCCCCTCACAGCAGGGTCTCGCTCCTTCATTTCTCCCTGTTAAATCAGCTGCAAGCTGCACACGCCACCCTGAGCACCCCTGGGCCCTGCAGCCCCTCTGTCAGAGCCCATCCTGGTCCACGCTGGATCCCCCCAGCCGTGCAGGAGGAGAGCAGCACCCTGATCTTGGTGCACAACGGGAGGAAGAGGAAGGTGGACACCTGGCATGCTGTTCCATGAGATGGTTCCCAAAGCACTGACCTGTGCTCAGGCTGGCTGAGAGCTTATGCAGAGGGACACTGCAGAAGGTCCCAATGGAACCAAGACACCTCTGGGGCAGCCTCACAGCGAGGGATGCTGCTCCCACAGAATTTGGCCCCATTGCAGCTGAGCAAACCAAGAGAGGGAAGAAGAAAGAGCTTTACCAACCATATTGGCACATTCTGACTTCATTAAAAGAAGCTTTGAGAAGGTGTTTACTCCCTGGCAGTGCAGATTGAGTTACGGGAATAAACATGGATCAATTAATTTAGGAACAGCATCTAGAGTTCATTATAACCCATAAATCCTTTCCATCCTTCAGAGGAGGCTGCCTCTCTGAATGGAAGGCCAGGTCTCATGTGCAGTTTGGAGTCTGGCTGTGAGTGTGTGTGTGTGTGTGTGTGTACACAGATACCCACACAGAAATGTTAAATCCTCAAGACTAAGTATCTTCAGTTGGTGGAAATCAATTTATTTTTTCATACAGGCTGGAATTGAAAATCTTAAGCCTGAAAGTTCCTTTCTTGCCAATTTGGCTGATAAAAAAGCGTATATGTCTTGGCAAGATGCCTCGTAGGGGCTCCTCTAAACGATTCCATTAATTGATTTGGGTGACTGGCCCTGCAGAACTGCTTATTAAAGGTGGCTTCTGAGCTGTGACTCTGAAGAATGAACTCGGAGGCGTTCTCGGCGCCGCTGCCTTCGGAGGGGCTGGCACTCTGCTTTCACACACACATCTCATTTAGCACTAACACCGGCTGATTAAGATGCAGAGCACAGCAGATCAGATTCTGGTGTTATTTATCCCGAATAAATCAAGGAGAAGCTCCACTCGTGTGAGCAGGAGTGAGACTCGACCCCGCCATGGGAGCCACGGCTGCAGCACCAGCCCTTGGTAATTAGCAATATCTCCATCATTCCCAACATCTCGGAGCTCCTGACATGGGAACTTCTCTGCCAGGAAGAAGCCAGTGTCAGATCATTTGTCTTAATGCTTCAGAGCACCCAAGCAGCTCCTCCTCATCTACCTTTGGCAGCAAAGTTGTCACTGAGGGGGATCTGGGGACACTCTAGAGGATGTGGGGGCACAGAAGGGTCCCTTTACCCACAGCCAACTGAGCTATGCTTCTTTTAAGAAGCCCATAAAAGTAAATGGTGAATCTCTTGAGAAGAAATTAGCACCCAGCCACAGCACAACAACTACCAGATCACTCCAGTAAGTAACTCCAGTTTTTAAAGTGAAACTATGGTAAAATCAGGGTCCAGAAGAATAAAATGTACACACAAATAAAGAAAGCAGAAAAAACATCAGCAAAATAAATGCAATTTAAGGCTTTCTTTATTACTAAATTGCTACCAAGATGGTTTTGCTTATTTCTATGGTGCAGTCCTGGCTGACAACACCCAAATTCCCATCAATAAGCAATGCTTTTGCAGTGTGGCCACAGTATTTGAGAGGAGGAAGGGGAGAAATGAACTTTTCCTTCAACTACAAGACATGTTCTGTGGCTTAACTGGGTGTGAGCTGGAGCAGGGACACTCCTGCCCTCGCTGCTCCTGCAATTTGGGATTGATGCCCAACATCTCTCTCACGGCTGCTTCTGGGGTTGTACCAAACCATCAACCTGTGAGGGCTGTGCTGGAAATTACAGCTGAGGAATTTTCCCTTGGAAAAGTAGTTTTCTCATCAGGTTTTAGAGCTGACCAGACCAGGGCTGGGTGTGAGCTGCCCTGGCTGCACCAATGCCCTGCCCTTGCTCCTGGAGGGATCCCCCAGCTCCCCTTCCCTGCTGGGTCTCGGCCCTGAGCTGGATCTCTGAGATCTCAGCCCTGAGCTGGATCTCTGTCCCAGCTCTCATTAGGCACAGGGGAGCAGTGACAGCAGCCCCATCCTCCTCTCCAGCCCTTTCCAGCTGTGCCCCAGCTGGGGGAGTGCTCGACCCCTGGCAGGGCAGGAGCTGTGTCAAAGCAGCACAGCCAGAACTGACAAATCTGGGCTCTTCATGGCATCCCAAACACAATTAAGTCCTTTCAAGCTGGTCAGGAGAAGTGATTTAAGAGAAGAAGAGAAAAGTGGTTTTTCTCTTCCAGGGAGCTCTGTCTCGTGTAATTTCAGTTGCCTGAAGAGGTCCAGTGCCTCATGCAAGTCCCATTTGCTTCACTAAATGCAGCCTATTGATTTTTTGCCAGTTTATTTTGCTCTGTGCTCTAAACTGGGAGAACACTGATGTTAAAAGCTCTGTGTCAACACTCAAGGAGCATTAAATGCAGAAAGAGGAGAGAGGGAGAGCCAAGGAACCCAGAGGCCTCTGATGTGAACTATATAAATGTTAAACAAGTCCTTATCAGCCAGCCGAGCACACGATTCATTTCAATTACCCATTGTAATGTACAGATATTTAATAATCCTTTTGGAGGCTACATTTCTTGCTGCTCTTTGAGGTTTGATAGATGCCACAAATCTACCTTACAGGCACTGGTCCAGATTTTCAAGCGAGGGAGATTATCCTGCCTCTTGAATGAAGTTTGCTCCAGCACATCCACTGCTGAGCATTCATCAAGTGGATTATAAGGAGCACGAGCTTTAATGGAGAAGAAATGAATCGCTGGGTATTTCAGTCAGGAGAAGTGGCCCACAGGGTTAAAGGCAGAGGAACAGCCTTTGTTTGAACAGCACTGCACTACCCAGCTTTGGTGGGATGAGCTTTTGTTTAACTTTTGCTAAACACGCTGGAATAAAGGAGGTGGATGGGCAAAGCATTTGGAATACGAAGCATTACAAGGGACTTTCAGCTAGCTCACCATTATTTATTACGGTTTTATCAGAAGAACATATGCTGGCACGTTGTGGGTGATACTGAAAAAATGATGGGGAGCTGTGGCAGCAGCAGTTGGGCTGGGCTTGGGCTCCATCTCCTGCTTTCTCATGGAAGGACAGAGACCTGTGGAGAGATAAAGGACGGCTGAAATCACAGCTCTGCGGCAGCAACTCCTCGTGCAGCAGCTGCTGAGGGGCCACCCTGACTCCTGACACAGCACAGGGACTTATCTGCGCTCTGACTTATCAGCCAGCTCCAGGCTCGCTGAGGAGCACACTGGAGGAAGAGGTTTGGCTGGCTAAGCTGCCTCTTGTGAAATAAGAAGGCAAAAACAGATGTAGGAAAAACAAGAAATGGGGCAGGAAAGAAGACCGGTGCATAAAGGAGCTGGCAGCAGTGGGAACACCAGCCTCAATATCCAAGTGTTGTCCCAGGGCGGGTCTGAGGGAGAAGCACTGACCCACGGGAGCACTGGGACCAGCAAAGGGGCAAGAACACATCACTCTGCCTGTCTGGGAAATCTTCCTAAATTAAAGCCAGTTCTGACCAGCAGTCCGGTCTAGTGGAAGGTGCCTCTGCCCGTGGTGGGGCAGGAGGAACAGGATGAGCTTCAAGGTCTTTCCCAACCCAAACCATTCTGGGATTTTGAGATTCTGTGACTTTCGTTATGACTGACAGAGACGACTCAGAAGGTGCTCATAGATAAATGGTACTTTTCAAATGTTATGGCAAGACGTAAAATAACCATATTTCTTCTCACTCAACACATTTTCTAGAAGAAAAAAAAAAGCATTCACATGAATAGCAAGCTAGAAAACATATTCCTTCCTTTGCAACAGAATGTCTGCTGATAGTGAGAGAATATCCATGTTTATTTTTAGCCGTAAGACAATCTTCTTGAATATCTCTGTGCTTCTGTTTACGTGGGTACGTTAAATCTGTTTGGCAGTTGCACATATCTCAGAGGAGACTCATTTCCTTGCCATGCTTGAGGAAAGACAAAAATATCATAGAGTGTGTGTAGAGAAAACCATGTCCTCCAAAACTCTCTGTTCTTTCAGCATGCAGAAACATTACAAGGTAAACAAATCCTGGTTGGGAAGTGAATACATTTAAGCAGATCTTAAAATGATCTGGGAGTCGAGGGGTCCTGCAGGGCTTTGGGCAGGTTCATTCTACCTCGGGACCTGAAGCACATGCACAGAAGGGTGTTTGCTGCAGCCCTTGTCTCTCTTAAAGGCAACATAAATCCAAACAATTTTGGGCAGTGAAGGCCTTTAAGACAAAGTCAAATTCATGGTTGCTCTGTTGTGTGATCTGTTCTCAACTATTATTATTATTATTTACTGAGAAGATACCAGCTTTCAGCAAATAGAGAATTAATCTTATTTTGGGGCTGGGGGGTGTCATTTTTCCAGAAATCCAAAATCTCCACATTTGAAAAAATGTGGGCTTTCATGAGCAGCAAACCCACGGCACTGGTTAAGAACAACGAGGAGGGGATCCAGCGAACGCTGACGGCCGATTACGCGCTGCTGATGGAGTCCACCACCATCGAGTACATCACCCAGAGGAACTGCAACCTCACCCAGATCGGGGGGCTCATCGACACCAAAGGCTACGGCATCGGGACGCCCATGGGTAAGTGACAGCTCTGGGGGGCTGCTCACCACAAACACAACGCAGGTGATTAAGATAATCCACTCCCAGCAGCGAATTTCCAAATACCAAACTTTGCACTGGCTGCCTGTTGAAGAGAGGTCTGAACCGTGCTGCTTACCACAGACACCTTCCCTGCTTGGTGGGATTTTTGCCCCACTTTCCCTCTGTGTATAACAGTGTCCCCACCCCCAGGGTCACCGTACAGGGACAAGATCACCATCGCCATCCTGCAGCTCCAGGAGGAGGACAAGCTCCACGTCATGAAGGAGAAGTGGTGGCGGGGGAATGGCTGCCCTGAGGATGAGAACAAGGAGGCCAGTGCTCTGGGCATCCAAAACATCGGGGGGATCTTCATTGTCCTGGCAGGAGGCCTGGTGCTGTCCGTCTTCGTGGCCATGGTGGAGTTCATCTACAAGCTGCGCAAAACGGCGGAGCGCGAGCAGGTACTGATGATTCCCTCTGATTCTCTGCCTCCCCTTAGCCCAGCCCTGGAGGGCTTTGCACGCTGACCCCAGGGACAAGCAGGGAGGGGGCAGAGGGATCCAGCTGGCACCCCTAAAGTGCCATCCCCAGAGGCTCACTGGTCTGACAGCCTCCACTCAGGGGAAAGTCACGTCTGCTCTGATCAGAGTTGTCTGCAGCAGCCACACCAGGGTACATTGGTAGGGTAGTTTAGAGCAAGCTGACAAATAAATCATTAAAATACAGACAAAACTCCCTAGGAGGGGCCTTTTCTCAGCTGTTACATCCTCTTGAAATCACCTTGCACGTTCCAGGTGTGACCATCCATGCCTTCTCCCCAGTCCCATTCAAAGAGGAACGAGTCAGGGCTCACCAGGAAGCCTCACACTGTCTTATCAACTCTGCCACACTCACAGACGCAGCCCATCAGTGGCTGATCAGTGTTCAGGAAACTGCAGAACTGCTTTTATGTCCTTCCTCTGCCGTGGGTGTCCTGGTGCAGTGAGTGGAACATGCACTTCTGTGCATGACCAGCAATCAAAGCGAGCTGCCCTCGTGAAGGACTAGACAGAGCAAGGAAAGCTGCCCAGCAGCAGGAGGGTCAGACTTGTCTGAGCCCCTGGCAGGATCACACAGCACCAGACCTCTGGCAGCTGCCTCCAGCTCTGCCTTTGTGCAGGAGTGAGCGTGTCACAGGCACAGTCCTTGCCGAGGGAGAGGGGTCAGCCAGGTGCCCACACAGCCCCACAGAGCACAGCCAACGCCTGAACAGCCCTAAACCTTGTCCTCACCCTCCACTGAGCCCTTCCAGCCCCTGCTCCACCCGGGCTAGCAGAACACTGCAGCACTAATGGAGCGTTTTGTCCCCTGATGCCTCGGAGGGGCTCCCAGAACACAGGCTAGGTAAGATCAGGAGAATAAAAGTGGGGATTTATAAAAGGCCTTCAACAGATACACCTTGGGCAGTCAGAAGCCTCCAAGGAGCTACACACACAAGATGGACAGTGGCCATGAGTTTTCAGACAGATATGAGTTCGGTCCATTTACATATCAGGGGTTAATCCCCCAATTACAGCTTCGGGTAATGAAGTAACTTACTCCAAGTTTGCTCCCCCTCAACTCACTTTTGTTTATATTTTCTGGGACCTGAGGCAGTGAGGTGCCCTTGATTCCCAGGCCTAGAGAGGAATTGTTTTACCTGAATAAAACTTGAGAACAGTGGCCGAGAGGCTATGGAGCTTTACAGTTACACACTAACAAACTGCAGGATTACAAATAAATGAGAAATATAAGAGCTGAAATGCTAAGGCCTCATCCCCGCTGTCCCCAGCGCTCCTTCTGCAGCGCCATGGCCGACGAGATCCGGCTGTCGCTCACCTGCCAGCGCCGGGTCAAGCACAAGCCCCAGGCCCCCGTGATGGTGAAGACGGACGCCGTGATCAACATGCACACCTTCAACGACCGACGGCTGACCGGCAAGGACAACATGACCTGCAACACCGGACTGGCACCTGTGTTTCCCTAGGGAATGGCAGTGGGGGGGTGGGAGGGAAGGAATTGCGGCAGACACGGCTGGATGCACCCTTAACTAGGGAAAGATGGATTAAAAACCGAGGAAAAAAAAAAGAAAAAAAAAAAAAGAAAAAAAAAAAAAAGAAAAAACCCGCCTGGTTTGTTCATTTCAAGAACAAGGCCTTTGCAACCCAGCTGTATCCATCACCGCAGAGGAGCCAGAACTTCCAAGCACGGACAGTAACGCGGGTCTTGGGGCTTTTTGCGTTTGTTTTGTTACTTTTCATTCCTTTTTTTTTTTTAATGCTTCGATCCTCCAGGCCTCGTGGAGTCCAACCACCACCCAGGAGTCTGATGTTTACACGCTGCAAACACACGGAGGTGAAGCAGAATCGAGCCAGCCCCGAGCGGGTGAGGAGGAGCCCCGAGCGTGGCTCCATCAGCACGGCAATAAACAGGAACACTCGGTCAGGGCTGAGCACCTGCTCCACACCCACACACACAGCACATTTTGGATACACTGTCCAGGAAAGGGAGAGGCACCTGGGAAGCAGCAGGATGGTCGAGGCTGTGCCTGCCCTGGCGCAGCTGGCGGTGGCCCTCAGCTCGCGGCTGTGCTGGCCGCAGCCACCCGCAGCGGGACAGCCACGTGGGAGCGTGGCGGCAGAAGGTGACACTCGTTCCTCAGCAGATCCAGGGCAGCCAACTGGCAAGGGGAAGGTGAGCCTGAAATGTACCCAAGCTCCGGGCCAGGGAGGGCGCAGCGTGGCACGCACAGGACCTTCTGCACCTCCAAGTGACAGCACCCACAGTCCCCGTGCCAGCCCAGCCCAGGGTGACACTGTGATCTCCTGACACCGTGATCTCCTGACACCGTGATCTCCAGGCCCTCAGCTCTGTCTCTGCTCTTCCTGCACAGCTCACTCTATCCTCCAGAGAAGCATGGGAAGCAACCACGTCCACAGGCTCCAGCAGCAGGAGGAGCAGAGCTGCTTCCAAGAGCCAAAAGTACCGATTTCCATGAAATTCAGCAGTGCTGAACTGCAGCTCACACTGGGAGGGGACTGTGGGCCTGGTTTAGGACTAAGCGCTCTCCATGGCATCAAGGACCTGAAAGATGAATCTCAGCCAGGGCTGACCTGGGAGAAGCAGAGCCAAGCCTGGGATCCCTCCTGCTCTGACCAGGAACTGCCACCCCTCAGGCAGCCTCTCCATGGGAATTAAGCAAACATACACTAAAATGTTTTTAGGAAATCTTCCATGAATTGTCTTCTTATTTTTAGGTTGCTTAACCCACAAGGTTGGTCCTGCAGATGAATTTAGGCAGAATTACCAAAGACCCCTCTGCTGGCCTAAGGTAACACTCAAGTTACTTCCCTCAGCTCCATCCCTGCCAGGGGACCCACAGGCAGCCAGTGGGATTCATTCACAAAATTTAACAAATGGAAATTCCTCTGCCCACCATAACCCAGAATGTCACACATGTGATGCAAAGGTGCTCAAAAGCTCTGGTTTTAGCCACTGGTGGTGCAGAAAACAGCAACACCCTTCCCCTGCAGGGGTAAGAGGGACAGTGACCCTGCAGGACCTCACCTGTGTGGAGGGCAGGTGGGGCAGGGATGGAGCAGCCACTGCTGCACCCAGCTCTGGGCCATGGGTGCTGCGGGTGCTGAGGCCACCACGGCCCTCCTGAGCTGCACAGCCACTCTGGAAAGTTTATCCTCGCCCAAAGGAACAAACCTGACTTCCGCTGATTTGGGATTTTTCCCCCGTGCTCAGTCAGGAGGGTTGTCTCGAGCTGAGCAGAATTAGCAGATTAGCTCAAGAGGGAAGAGCTGCTCCCCCACCCCATCATGGAACACAGTTTGTACTTATTTTGCTTTTTCCATGATGTAAAGAAACAATAGAGTGACCCCAAGCAAAACCAGGTGATTTGTCATAGTTTGATTCAAGTAAAGATATGCAAAGAATTTACATTCATTTTCACCTTTTCACAAAAACTGTGAAAAATTAGGGATGAAAGTTGCCAATGCAATGGGCATCAGATTCTTAATAATTTGCTGCACAAATACCTTGAGCAGAGGACAAACTGAAGTGTGGGGCAGCTTCCCAAAGCTAATGACATGCTTTCTGTATTCCTTTGCAAATCCTTAGGCTTGTCAGAGTAGTAGATTTTATGTTTTCCTTGCGGATTTCTAAGCTCTAAAAAAAAAAAAAAAAAGCAGAGATGCAAACAAAGCCCGAAACTGGCTTTAAATGTCCAGAGAGTAAAATACCACAGAAATCAGCATTCATTTTGCTTCTTGGCAGATTTTTAAAAAATAAATAAATATTGCTAATACCACAAACCCCATTTATTTATTGACACCAGCCTGATTTGATTTTAATCACAAATGTGACGGGTGAGCATCTGGAATTACTGGTGTACTGCCAGCCAGATCAAACCCTGCAGATGAACCTTTTTCCTTCCATCCCTACACCCCTAAACCAGCCACGAACTGCAGCCAAATTCCCGCATCGACGTGATGGCTTTGTGTTGAAGTTTTGATCACTGGAAGGCTTGATATCCAACAAGGGAATGTTTTAGCTCACAAAAAATGCAGAGGAGCTGCTGGGACCCCAGCCTGGTGCAGACCCTTCCCCCTGGCCCCGTTCACTGTGACCCGAGGGGACGTGCAGGATTTCAGCCCCAGCCTTCCTGCGGGACCAGGGGCAGCTCACCCAGGAGAGCTCCGAGCCTCTCCCGCATGCTCCTGGTGCCCAAAGCCATGTGTGCTCATGCCAGAGGAGGAGCAGCCAGCCCAGGGCCTCAGAGCCACGTTTGGGAGGCTTGGGAAGGGACAGAGTTGATGACAAAGCCTCAAAGCCTTCTGTGAGCCCATCCGTGACCTGGCTGGGACTAGTGACAAGTCACGTCTGAAATCATCCAACTTCCAACGCTGTTCCTTTCTTCACTTGGGCAGAGGGACTGGAAAACTGAGGAGGAAATACAGAAAAAGCAGGTTTGGGTTATTAAACTGTATTAAAACTGTTGTCACCTCGGCTCACCATCCCCTTATCACTTGCTTTTTCCTTCCAACTCTCCCGTGAGACAGAGCAGGGACAGCCAGCTGCTTCCCTGGGGTGGATTTTCTGTTTGGAGTCAACCAACAGCACGTGGCAGGTGTGATGTGGAGGGGACAGACCCACAGAGAGATGGAATATGCAAAGGGGAGCCACCTCCAGCTCTGGGCACCCACTGCTCCACCTCGGTGCTGGCAGCAGGACTCGGCTGGGTGCCAGCACTGAGGCTCTCCAGGAAGGTCACAGCAAAGGGACACGGTGGGTGCTGGTGGCTTCACCCAGTGTTCACCCAGCACCCAGTGACCGTGGGGTACCACAGTCCCCAGAGTGCTCGGGGCTGGCATTGGCATCATGAGCCCTCTGCTCTGTACCTTACTTTGACATGTTTCTCAAAAAAAAAAAGAAAAAATAAAATTAAAAAATAAAATAAAATAAAAAAAAAAAAAACAGAAAAGAGTGGGAAAAAGGAAAAAATAGTCTCCGTGACATTCAGGGGATTTTCCTTTGTGGACATGCAGAATTTCTATGAATATAGTTTTTTGTAAACATTTTGTAACAATTTTGGTTTCATAGTAACTGTGTTACTTGCTGATCATTCTAGGCTGATGTAAATACAATTTCCAAAAAATAAAAAAAAAAAAAAGAAAAAATTCTGATTATTTTCCTTTTTAAGACACTGTGATATATCAAAGTGCACAGTTTGCTGTATGAAGTAATATGGTTTTAAATTTTAAATAAATAATTTCTAGAAAATAATGACGTTTATGCCTGTTTATACCCAACATCTCCCTTCCTTGCTCAGATTCTGCCCCAAACTCCTATTGCTTAACAACGTCCCAACTTTATCAGCCATAAAGCCAGTGATGGTACAACCAGTTCCCAGCTGAACCCAAACACGTGGGAAATGCTGCTGGTGCTGCTCACCGAGGGGGCTGTGGCACGTTTGGGGCAATGGTGATGGTCTCAGGAGAGGAAGGAAAGATCCCAATTTTGGCCAAAGGGAGGGAAGAGACAATGGGGCTCAGACAGGGCCCTCACAGCTTGAGATCAGACAGGTAATTAAGCCTGGACATTCCATGAAGGGCCATCCACAGGAGCTCTCTCCCGTCGTGGTTTGCTATTGTAAATGCAGGCGAACCCAATGGGAAGAAATGAGGATGTCTGACTCAGTTCAGAGGGCTGAATGATTTATTTATTATAACTATGCTAAAATACATCCATATACTATATAAAAAGAGGATACTCAAACTACATACTACTTTCTCTGAACCTATCTCTAACTCTAACCTAATTCGTAACCCTCTCTGAGAGTCCAGCCCCAGGTGGGTTGGATTGGCCACCAGGCTCTCCTCACCAGAATCCAACCAAGCAACACCCCAGGTAAACAATTCTCCAAACACATTCCACATGGGAAAAACAAGGAGCAGAAATAAAAATTGTTTTTTCTTTCATTTCTCTCTGTGCACTTCTATGAAAATCCTGAGAGGGAGAGAAATGTGCTGCCACAGTTTACCTGGAGGCTGCCTCAGCTTTTCATCACAGAGAGGTGCCGGAGCCCCAACAAGGCCGTGAGGTTCATAAAGGCTCTGTTTGCATCTTCCCTTCCATGTAAGTCAAAAATCTTATTAGCCTGATAAAAGCTGGGAGCACCCTAAAGGCCAGCGTTTATTTTATTAGCCTAAATCTTTATGGCTCTGCTTGTTATGTCGAGGCAGGGAGGAAACCTCTGCGGTTTCTGGGATGGGAGCAGCCAGAGCAGTTGGGGCTGTGCCCTTCCTGCAGAGATAAAACAAACCCCAAAAGGGGAGGCACAGGCCTGGGAGCAGCTCCGGGCTTCAATGGCACGGCCCACCCTGCACACTGAGAAATAAAGACAATTCTTTCCCATTTTAAGTATTTTTAAGGGTCACCCTCAAAAATCTTTCACATTTCTATTCGCTTGAGCCCCTAGAAAAGCAAAGCTTTGATGCTGGTGCTGAGGGGGATCAGCAGAGCCAAGCCCTGCCTCACTTTTATGCTCTGAACCCTGATCAACATGCAAAGAACATAGCAAAAAAAAAAAAAAAAATAAAAAGAGGAAGAAAAAAAGGTAAAAGCAATGGATGCCTTTGCAAAGCTGCTTCTGCATCATTTAGCATGAGAGACCTTCTCAGGGAACAATTCCCTCCCCACGTGGGCGCTCCCAGCTGCCAGGACAGCAGGGCAGGACGGGGCAGCATCGGCTGACCCCCACGACAAACCCCCGGCTGCGCCAGGAATACCAGGAATTGTCAACATAAATCGTTATCAGCATTAACGCCAGGCAGCAATTAACCTTGTCAGTCAGCAGCTCACCCTTTACCGACTGTGACCCACCGCCTGGAAGCTGCCAATCACCTCGGAATGAATAATGAATGAGACAACAGATTTCACTCATAAAACAGCAGTACCCTTCCCTTTAAGCACCAATTAATCCCTCTGGGCAAAATATGGAGAAAATCAGGAAATGGTGAGAGGTGTCTGCCCACCCTCCCATCTCCCAGTCCCAGCCACGCGCCTTCAGACATTTTAGATTTTCAGATCAGCAGAGAGTAATTTTTAACCTGGATTTCTTCCAGCAAAATCCCATTTCAAAGCAGTAATTGTACATCTGTGAGCAGGTGTTTTGGTGACCCTGGATGTCAGTGCTCTGATACATCCCCGTGCCCTCTCACAAGCAGCTGACATGGCCACCACGACCCCTCTGTGCACTCTTGCTCTCTGTGAGCACCAAGTCCTTCCTTCTCCCCAAATCAAACCACTGACAAAATCTCTGCCACTCGGGGAGGACTCAGGCAAGTTTGGACCTGAATGTTTTCACAGGTAAAATACACTTTTATTTCCTTAATGGAAATTTGGGGATGGAACAGAGGAACGATGGCAGAAGGAAATCCATTGTCTCCTCTAGTGCCTGCCAGAGTGGGTTGGGCAGGACAGCCCCTGCATGGTATAAAAATTGTGTTTGCATCACTATTGCAAGGCCCAAACAACCATGGAAACGGGGAGCAGCACCTGCGTATAATAACTTTCTATAGTAATACTCTTGTCTGTCCAGCATCAGGATCTTCCTGAGATTTTCACACGTGGCATTATCTCATCCCAGCCCAGCTTACTGAGCATGACAGGCTGATCCCAGCTCATGCCACCTTCATCTCTGGCTCCACAGATGAGAAATTGGAGTGGCCTGTAGCACAGCCAGAAGCTGTGGAATCTCCTCCAGAGACCCCTCCTTTATTCCTCCTTCCAGAGTGGGAACAGGGTCAGCTGGGCCCTGCAGAACCAGGGGGTGATGCCAGTGAGAAGTGGAGCCCAGCAGAAAGGTGAATAGAACCAAAAGAAACCTGCCCTGAGCCTCCAGATGCACGGCCTGGATCCAAACTGAATCCTGACATTTGGAAGAATTTGGTGATATTTCCCATCAAGAATTTCTGTGCAACTTCAGCATCTGCTATTTTCCATTTTCCACCAGAAACTGAACCATGGGGCTGGAGCTGTGCACTGATTTTATGGTTTTAGCTAGAAAAAACCAGAGCCTCTGGTTTAGACAAAGCAGAAAACACCAGCAGACTGAAACTTTGTCCCACACAGCGGGGCAAGGAAAGGAAGGAGAGAAGGAGCCTGGTCCATCAGGAGAAGGGCCCCATCAGCTCAGGGCTGTGCTGGGAGCACCCCAGGGATGCACTGGGTGACAGGGACAGGCTCCCTGTGGGCTCTGCACACCCCAGGGGCTGCTCCTCTGCCAGAGCTGGACAGCACCAGCAGCTCCACACAGCTCCCTGGCTTTCCTTGGGAACCCCAGGCATCAAAAGCAATAAAAACACTGAAAGTGTGTCATCGTGCCCCAAACCAAGAGCTGCCTTCCTGTCACAGCCCCAAGAGCTGCTCGTGGGGAGGTGGGGCAGGGCAGAGCTGCAGGGATGGGGCAGGAGCAGAGCAGGAGCAGCTCAGCCTCAGGGACATTTCAGAGCTGAGAGCTCTGAGCAATCCGCAGGGGCAGACAAGGTGCTGACACCTTTTATTTTAAGTAGTATCGATGGTGCTATTTAGCACACTCTGAAAGCATCAGCTTAGTAAACAAGAGCTCTTCTGGCAGCGCTGAGGTGACATATGGGCTCTGGATATAATGTGCCTTGAAATGGTTGTTGTAAATTAGCGAAGTGACGGTGACACAGGTAACACCTCGGAGCCTGCACGGGCTGAGGGAAGGAGCAGCTCTGTAAAGATTTCTTTTCATGGGCTTGAAAGGGAGGCAGGAGGAACCAGAGCACAATCCCCGGCAGAAGGGAAAAGGGCACCATTAGAGGAGGGACAGGGGCACGCAGCAGAGCACAGGGTTGGAGAATCACTGCAGAAAAGCACAAAAACGTGCTGCAGGAAGATTTCAGGCACAGACCATTCCAGTCTCTCGGGCTTTTTACCCTTCAGCACTAGTTGTCTTATTTTCATCCTCCCCTGCTGCCCAGAATCTCTCTCCCTGTTCTCCATGCACGCTGTGTGCTCACATAATGGCTTTTTTTCCATTAACGTGTTTATCTTGCTCCCTGTGCTTTGTTGGATGCACCATTTGCTACTTCTTTATAGCAAAGTGTCTGCAGCACCTCGGGAGCCAGTTTTGCCGGGAGAAGTCGAGGCTGGTACTGACACAGTCACCAAAGGGTCACGAACCATGGAAATTGGCACCATTTTTACAGTTCCCACAGGACAGCACCAGGAAATGTCATTCCCAGCACTCCAGGACCTACAGCTCAAACCATCCCACCTTGGGGAGGGTGACCTGCCTGGCAGCACTCACCTGTCCCCTCTCAGGAGCTGAAACAGGCAAGCCCTGAGCCAGGAAAAGGCCAAATGCTTTCATTGGAACAAAGGGGAAAATTTTCACTTGGAGATGTCGTGGAAAGGGAATGAGATTTATTCCAAGTATTTCGGGAATACTGCTCTCCCTTTCTGTGGTCTTGCTAAAGCAACTCAGAAGAGACATAATTGAAGTGTCTAAGAAGCATCTGTCATTATTAAAACAAAGTTGCTTTGCAATTTTACTATTTCGCTGCAGTTTCATTATCTCATGCAAATGAGCTGCTCTTCCCCTCTGTGGCGGGGCTGGAGGGAGAGGAGCCCCAGTGAGGGAATTTATTGCCAGTTCTCACTCTTGAGATTATCAATTGCAAATGAAGGAGCATAAATACATCTTCTTTAGCTGCTTATGCCACATTAAGGGATGTGCTCCAAGCTAATGGCTTTGCCACTCTTGTCTCCTCAGACTGGAGCAGAGCACAGGGACACACATGGCTCCTTTGGCTCACAGCAGCCTCAGAGGGGCTGGAGGAGCCGGGGGCTGCTCAGCAGGTTGTTCCTACAACACTAATCCCAATCCATCCTGCAGATCGTGCAGCTACCATAGGTAATACAAGTGGGATAGTTTGTGTTTTAGCAGGAATTCCAGTCCCCTGATGATCAGCACCATACCCACCCCTCCAGCCCTGCTCACACTTCATGTCTGTCCATGCACACGTCTAATTTCCAGTTTCCCTTGCTGAACCAGTGCTTCCATGGCACAGAACTGTACTCCCAAACCTCCCTGAAGCTGTCCCTGGATGGGGAGAGACAGTCGGGAGTCAGAGAGGATGTCAGGGTGTGTGTGTGCCTCTGCCTGAGCTGTGAGCAAACCACAGCAGCCCCAGAAGAAAATCTTTTAGATAACTTGCAATAAACTGCCTGAGACCGAACAACAGAGACTGCTG